GTATGCCGGCCAGTGTCGGAACTACTGCCCCTCTGTTGGGGCCCATCAAGTTTGCCTCACGCTTAGGTACACTTGACGGGAATCACTGATCAGGGGCCTAGCCGGTGCTGCAGCCCTTTAACCGTGAGACCAGGCCCCTGTCAGAAGGTGCTGGGAGCAGATCGCTTTCTGCCAGTTATCAGAGAGAGCCGCGCAGGGACGTGAGACCAGGCCCATGTCAGAAGGTGCTGGGAGCAGATCACTTTCTGCCAGTTATCAGAGAGAGCCGCGCAGGGACGATTGGATGCAGAGAGGTGGGGGAAAGAGAGAGGAGACACACTGAGGAAGGTGCAGACTCCCACCATCCTCAGCCTGCATGGCACACTGTACCCTATAAAAGCCACCCTAGTGCTCCCAAAAGTGTTCATGTGTATCTGTCCATGTGTGTTAGTGTGTATCTGTGTGTGACAGTGTGTATCTGTGTCAGTATATGTGTATCTGTGTGTGTATCAATCTGTATGTGTATCTGTGTCAGTGTATATGTGTATTTGTGCGTGTGTGTCAGTGTGTATGTGTACCTGTGTCAGTATGTGTGTGTATCAATGTGTATATGTATCTGTTCCAGTATGTGTATTATCTGTGTGTGACAGTGTGTATGTATATCTGTGTCAGTATATGTGTATATGTGTGTGTGTCAGAGTATATGTGTATCTGTGTCAGTATTTGTGTGTATCTGTGTGTATCAATGTGTGTGTATCTGTGTCAGTATATGTGTGTATCTGTGTGTGTGTGTGTGTGTGTGTGTATGGGAGAAAGAGAGACAAAGGGGCTGGAGAAAGAAATAGACACAGAAAGTGACTGGTGGGGAAGTAAGAAAATACACAAGAGGGGTTGTAACAGACACACTAAAGGGGTGTAAGAAATAAATACATTCAAGAGAGGGTATATGAAGCACTAGAGGGTAAGAAATTCAAAAAGGGGCCTATGAAGATGCATTTTTTTGGATGGGGGGAGTGGGGCAGCAAAATGCATCTTAGCCTGTGTAGCCAAAAATCCTTGCACTGGCCCTGAGTATAATTGTAGCCCTTTCCTTTCTCCCTCCCTCAATCTCCCTGTTTGCTAGTGTGCGGCACTGTGTTTTAACATACAAAGGTTTCTATACATTGTGGGAGGGGAGAAGATGAGCACTAAAAGGAATTGCCTATAAGGAATGTAAATGAGCCGAATTGTGCCCAGATTGTATGTAAAAATGCTAATGTCAGAATAGAAGCAAAAAGAATATTTCATGTAAAATCAAATCCAGTTCACTAATTAAAATAGATGAAAGTCACAAAGACTCATGAACAGGATATCTCTAAAAAAAATATATCTTATTTTATACATTTAATTTTATTTCATTGGAGGACCACTCGAAACAAATAAAGAACTTTAACACGCTGAAGTGCTTTATGTGCATAAAGTATCCCATATTAACAGCACATTGTAAAAGTGATGATTTTCATGAGAAATCAGTACTTATGTAAATACATTCTGAAACACCTTCCTGGCTGCCAATCAAATAATTGGGTAGGTGTTTCTACATCCTTCCTGCTTCCGTTAGCTCCCCTGAGCGTGTACGCGAGTAGACGCATGCACAGAGGCACAGATTCACTGGCATTTCAAAGGAAATGCATCTTTTGCAAGCTTTTTGCATATGCCTCAATTGACTACACGCATAAATAAATGCATGGGGGGTAGGGGCATGTATACTAAACAGTGTTTTGTTGTTTTTTTGCTCGTTTGTTTTTAATTTTTCGGTGTGGACTGTTATGTTAAATAAATGATTTATTTTTTATTAAATCTTATATGTGTATGGTTTGTAATTTGGTACATTCTATGTCTGCGGTTTATGATTTGGTACATTTTATGGATGCAGTTTGTGATTTGGTTCATTATAGGTGTGCGGTTTGTCATTTGGTAGATTGTATGTCTGTGGTTTGTGATTTGGTTCTGATTCATTATATGTAGTGATGCCGCGAACGTTTCTTGGCGAACTCCGGTCAGCTGACACATCCATGCCAATCTCCTGCAGACCCTCCCTCCCAGACCCTCCCACCTCCTGGACAGCATCCATGTTGAAGCTGCCTTCAACATGGATGCTGTCCAGGAAGTAGGAGGATCTGGGAGGGAGGGTCTGCCGGAGTTCGCCGCGAACGGTTCGCGACATCACTAATTATATGTGTGTGGTTTGTAATTTGGTACATTCTATGTCTGCGGTTTGTGATTATATGTGCATGGTTTGTGATTTGGTTCTGGTTCATTCTATGTCTGTGGTTTGTGATTTGGTACATTCTATGTCTGCGGTTTGTGATTTGGTTCTGGTTCATTCTATGTCTGCGGTTTGTGATTTTGTACATTTTATGGATGCGGTTTGTGATTAGGTTTAGTTTGGTTCTGGTTCATTCTATGTATGCGGTTTGTGATTTGGTACATTCTATGTCTGCGGTTTGTGATTTGGTTCTGGTTCATTCTATGTCTGTGGTTTGTGATTTGGTTCTGGTTCATTCTATGTCTGCGGTTTGTGATTTGGTTCTGGTTCATTCTATGTCTGTGGTTTGTGATTTGGTTCTGGTTCATTCTATGTCTGCGGTTTGTGATTTGGTTCTGGTTCATTCTATGTCTGCGGTTTGTGATTTGGTTCTGGTTCATTCTATGTCTGTGGTTTGTAATTTGCTACATTCTAATTCAAGACGGTCAGAGAGGGTTAGACCGTCAGACTTACTATTTGAAATCTGTGAGCAGAGCTTGGGGTATGTGACCATTAATCACATATTGCCTCTCTGTCCGTGGTACTGAATTAAAAATGAAAGTTCCTCTCCCAAAAATAAAATGTTTATAAAATGTACAGCAAGTAACAAGAAAAATAAAACCGTGACATGAAATACACATTCTGCCATTACATATACACCGTGATTACACGCATTCTGCATTACATATACAGCATGACGTTACAAGCATTCTGAATTACATATACACCGTGACATGAGACACACGCATTCTGCCATTACATATACACCGTCACGATACACGCATTCTGCCATTACATATACACCGTCACGATACACGCATTCTGCCATTACATATACACTGTGACGTTACACGCATTCTGCCATTACATATACACCGTGACACTACACGCATTCTGCCATTACATATACACCGTGACACTACACGCATTCTGCCATTACATATACACTGTGACGTTACACGCAATCTGCCATTACATATACACTGTGACGTAACACGCATTCTGCCATTACATATACACTGTGACACTACACGCATTCTGCCATTACATATACACCGCCACGATACACGCATTCTGCCATTACATATACACCGTTACACTACACGCATTCTGCCATTACATATACACTGTGACGTTACACGCAATCTGCCATTACATATACACTGTGACGTTACACGCATTCTGCCTTTACATATACACAGTGACACTACACGCATTCTGCCATTACATATACACCGTCACGATACACGCATTCTGCCATTACATATACACCGTTACACTACACGCATTCTGCCATTACATATACACTGTGACGTTACACGCAATCTGCCTTTACATATACACTGTGACGTTACACGCAATCTGCCATTACATATACACTGTGACGTTACACGCAATCTGCCTTTACATATACACTGTGACGTTACACGCAATCTGCCATTACATATACACTGTGACGTTACACGCAATCTGCCATTACATATACACTGTGACGTTACACGCATTCTGCCATTACATATACAGTGTGACGTTACACGCATTCTGCCATTACATATACACTGTGACGTTACACGCAATCTGCCATTACATATACACTGTGACGTTACACGCATTCTGCCTTTACATATACACAGTGACACTACACGCATTCTGCCATTACATATACACCGTCACGATACACGCATTCTGCCATTACATATACACCGTTACACTACACGCATTCTGCCATTACATATACACTGTGACGTTACACGCAATCTGCCTTTACATATACACTGTGACGTTACACGCAATCTGCCGTTACATATACACTGTGACGTTACACGCAATCTGCCTTTACATATACACTGTGACGTTACACGCAATCTGCCATTACATATACACAGTGACGTTACACGCAATCTGCCTTTACATATACACTGTGACGTTACACACAATCTGCCATTACATATACACTGTGACGTTACACGCAATCTGCCATTACATATACACTGTGACGTTACACGCATTCTGCCATTACATATACACTGTGACGTTACACGCATTCTGCATTATATATACACAGTGACGTTAAATATAGACCGCGTGACATCAGATACACGATTTATGCAATTACATATACATCGTGACGACATTGGATACAATAATATAGTGGATACCAGCATCTGAAAACAGTCCTGACATTGATACATTTTGTAATGCTAAATTAAATTTGTGATTTCCTGCTTTGATCCCTTTTTAAATTAAAAGGAAGAGAAAAAAAATCATTATTTAGCAATAAAATAAAACTTTGGGTATGTCCTGGTAACAGTCTGAGCATGCTCTGCTTGCAGAGCCGGGTGTCACTCTGAGCATGCTCTGCTTGCAGAGCCGGGTGTCACAGTCTGAGCATGCTCTGTTTGCAGAGCCGGGTGTCAATCTGAGCGTGCTCTGCTTGCAGAGCCGGGTGTCACACTGAGCATGCTCTGTTTGCAGAGCCGGGTGTCACACTGAGCATGCTCTGCTTGCAGAGCCGGGTGTCACAGTCTGAGCATGCTCTGCTTGCAGAGCAGGGTGTCAGTCTGAGCATGCTCTGCTTGCAGAGCCGGGTGTCAGTCTGAGCATGCTCTGCTTGCAGAGCCGGGTGTCACAGTCTGAGCATGCTCTGTTTGCAGAGCCGGGTGTCACAGTCTGAGCATGCTCTGTTTGCAGAGCTGGGTGTCACACTGAGCATGCTCTGTTTGCAGAGCCGGGTGTCACAGTCTGAGCATGCTCTGCTTGCAGAGCCTGGTGTCACAGTCTGAGCATGCTCTGTTTAGGTGTATGACTGTTGCCTAGCAACATGGAAAGCATATCTTGGAGAGACAGGTTAGTCTGATAAAGCCAGGTTGTGTATAACCCCTCTATGAGGTTCTATGGAATTATTAAGGAAATGTATTTATATTTAGTGGGACTGTACCCACCCACCAACCCATCCTACCAGAATACAGAACCTGGAGATCGGATTAGATACATTGTCAGTGTCTGTTATAAAGGGTCTGTGAGTGGCTCCACTGGTGAGAATTAACCCTTTATTGTCTGTCTGTTATAAAGTGTCTGTGAGTGGCTCCACTGGTGAGAATTAACCCTTTATTGTCTGTCTGTTATAAAGTATCTGTGAGTGGCTCCACTGGTGAGAATTAACCCTTTAGTGTCTGCCTGTTATAACGTGTCTGTGAGTGGCTCCACTGGTGAGAATTAACCCTTTAGTGTCTGCCTGTTATAACGTGTCTGTGAGTGGCTCCACTGGTGAGAATTAACCCTTTATTGTCTGCCTGTTACAAAGTGTCTGTGAGTGCCTCCACTGGTGAGAATTAACCCTTTAGTGTCTGTCTGTTATAAAGTATCTGTGAGTGGCTCCACTGGTGAGAATTAACCCTTTATTGTCTGTCTGTTATAAAGTGTCTGTGAATGGCTCCACTGGTGAGAATTAACCCTTTATTGTCTGTCTGTTATAAAGTGTCTGTGAGTGGCTCCACTGGGGATAATTAACCCTTTATTGTCTGTCTGTTATAAAGTATCTGTGAGTGGCTCCACTGGTGATAATTAACCCTTTATTGTCTGTCTGTTATAAAGTGTCTGTGAGTGGCTCCACTGGTGAGAATTAACCCTTTAGTGTCTGCCTGTTACAAAGTGTCTGTGAGTGGCTCCACTGGTGATAACCCTTTAGTGTCTGCCTGTTACAAAGTGTCTGTGAGTGGCTCCACTGGTGATAATTAACCCTTTAGTGTCTGCCTGTTACAAAGTGTCTGTGAGTGGCTCCACGGGTGAGAATTAACCCTTTATTGTCTGTCTGTTATAAAGTATCTGTGAGTGGCTCCACTGGTGAGAATTAACCCTTTAGTGTCTGCCTGTTATAACGTGTCTGTGAGTGGCTCCACTGGTGAGAATTAACCCTTTATTGTCTGCCTGTTACAAAGTGTCTGTGAGTGGCTCCACTGGTGAGAATTAACCCTTTAGTGTCTGTCTGTTATAAAGTATCTGTGAGTGGCTCCACTGGTGAGAATTAACCCTTTAGTTTCTGTCTGTTATAAAGTGTCTGTGAATGGCTCCACTGGTGAGAATTAACCCTTTATTGTCTGTCTGTTATAAAGTGTCTGTGAGTGGCTCCACTGGGGATAATTAACCCTTTAGTGTCTGTCTGTTATAAAGTATCTGTGAGTGGCTCCACTGGTGATAATTAACCCTTTATTGTCTGTCTGTTATAAAGTGTCTGTGAGTGGCTCCACTGGTGAGAATTAACCCTTTAGTGTCTGCCTGTTACAAAGTGTCTGTGAGTGGCTCCACTGGTGATAACTCTTTAGTGTCTGCCTGTTACAAAGTGTCTGTGAGTGGCTCCACTGGTGATAATTAACCCTTTAGTGTCTGCCTGTTATAAAGTGTCTGTGAGTGGCTCCACTGGTGAGAATTAACCCTTTAGTGTCTGCCTGTTATAAAGTGTCTGTGAGTGGCTCCACTGGTGATAATTAACCCTTTAGTGTCTGCCTGTTATAACGTGTCTGTGAGTGGCTCCACTGGTGATAATTAACCCTTTAGTGTCTGCCTGTTATAAAGTATATGTGAGTGGCTCCACTGGTGATAATTAACCCTTTAGTGTCTGACTGTTATAAAGTATCTGTGAGTGGGTCCACTGGTGATAATTAACCCTTTAGTGTCTGCCTGTTATAAAGTATCTGTGAGTGGCTCCACTGGTGATAATTAACCCTTTAGTGTCAGTCTTTTATAATTTGTCTGTCAGTGGGTCCCCTTTCTGTGTGTCACTGGTGAATACTTGCGTTTCCTGGCTCTGATATACAAATCGCTGTAAGGGTCCCAGTACTGGGAGACCCCTCCCAGCTGATTATAGTCTCTATTCACTAAACATTGCGTTGACAGTCTACCTGCATTTTTTAAGTCATTTTTTAAAGGATGAAGCTCCAACTTGGCTTAGTATGACATTTTTACAACCCGTTGATTCTAGGTTAGAGTTTGCTGCTTTTTACAATATACAATGGTGTTTTGAAATGGTGCTGCCCTAGGCATGACAGATCTCGGGCACGCCCCAATTTAAATTTACCTGCCCCTTCCTGCCAAGGCCACACCTCTTTCTGTTAACTAACACACATTTTGAGTGACAGACACACACTCACAGACCAGCAGACACTCTCAGATACACTGACATACACACACACATAGACTCACTGATTTGACACAATCTGACAGACACATGCAATCATTCAGAATCACACTGACAGATGCATTCACTCACTGACAGACAAGCACAAAAACTCTCACAGACACAGACACACTCACACAATAACCATAGGCGTGCGCAGCCTATTGCATTAGGGTGTGCACCCTAAAGCACAAGCACACGCCACGTATATATATATGTATGTATGTATGTATATATATATGTGTATGTGTGTGTATATATATATATATATATATATATACATACACATATATACACACATACACACACTGCTGTGTGTGTGTGTGCTGTGTGAGGGTGCTGTTAGTGTGATGTGTGTGTGACGGTGCTCGTAGTGTGCTATGTGGGTGAGGGTGTTTGTGTGTGCGTGCTTGTGAGGATACTGTTAATGTACTGTGTGTGAGGGTGCTGTTTGTGTGTGTGTGTGTGCGCTTGTGAGGGTGCTGTTAATGAACTGTGTGTGAGGGTGCTGTTTGTGTGTGAGGGTACTAGTGGTGTGCTGTGTGTGAGTTTGTTAGGGTCCTGTTTGTGAGGGTACTGTTAGTGTGCTGTGTGTGTGTGAGGGTGCTGTTTGTGTGCTGTGTGTGAGGGTGCTGTGTTTGTTTGTGAGGGTTCTGTATGTGTGTGTGGGTGCTGTATGTGTGTTGGTGCTGTGTATGTCTGTGGGTGCTGTGTGGGTGCTGTGTATGTCTGTGGGTGCTGTATGTGTGTGGGTGCTGTGTATGTCTGTGGGTGCTGTGTGTGGTGCTGTGTATGTCTGTGGGTGCTGTATGTGTGTGTGTGGGTGCTGTATGTGTATGTGTGTCTGTGGGTGCTGTATGTGTGTGTGGGTGTATATGTGGGTGCTGTGTATGTCTGTGGGTGCTGTGTGTGTGTGGGTGCTGTATGTGTGTGGGTGCTGTGTATGTCTGTGGGTGCTGTATGTGTGTGTGTGTGGGTGCTGTATGTGTGTGTGTGGGTGCTGTATGTGTGTGGGTGCTGTATGTGTGTGGGTGCTGTGTATGACTGTGGGTGCTGTGTATGTGTGTGGGTGCTGTATGTCTGTGGGTGCTGTGTATGTGTGTGGGTGCTGTGTATGTCTGTGGGTGCTGTATGTGTGTGGGTGCTGTGTATGTCTGTGGGTGTTGTATGTGTGTGTGCTGTATGTGGGTGGGTGATTGTGGGGGTGGAGGTGGGGGTACATTACCTGCTATCCCCCCTCCCTTCTTACCTTTTGTAGGGAGGAGGGATTGTGCTGCTGCTTTCCCTGGTGGTCCAGTGGAGAGTGAACTCTGTAGGGCTAGAGTTCACTCTCGCGAGATTTGTGTGTTGCCGTGGCAACGCTCATATCTCACGAGAGGAACCCGGCGGAGCTGCCGGCAATAGCTCCGCCGGGTCCTCTCCTGCCTCCCTCCCTGCATGTGGGTCAGTGGGGAGGGAGGCTGAGAGCAGAGCCGGCGCTCGGATAGCGCCGGCTCTGCATGAGCCGACAGGGGAGATCCTGAGATCTTCCCTGCCGGTCTCAATATGCATAGGCGTGCCGCGGGGATTAGGGTGTGCCCAGGCACACCCGGCACACCCCGTGCGCACACCTATGACAATGACACATACACTCACTCACTGACAGACACACATACTAACAGACACACTCACATTCACTGACACACACACTCACATTCACTGACACATATTTACTGACAAACACAAACCCACACATTTTCCGCCAACACTCACAATTATTGATATTTTTTTTTTTTTATTTAAATCCACCCAGCCTCCCTACTTTTGGGAGAGCAGGGTGGAATTTTCACCTGGGGTCCACTGGGGCTCCTGGGCAGGAAAGCAGGCGGACGTGCAGGCAGGCAGGTGGCTGGGCTTAGCTGTCAGCGAGGGAGCCTTGATCTCCCTGCTCAGCTCCCTCGCGCGCCACAGAGTGATGCCGGGAGCCGAAGTGACGTCATATTCTGGCTCCCAGCATCACTGCGGGAAACACGAGAGAGATGAGCAGTAACAGGGGCCCCCTAGCCGCCCGCCCGGGAAACAACTTGCCGTCTGTCCCGGGGGACCCAATGGTGGCCAGCCGGCCAGCTCTTGGGCCCCCTTAAAATGAGGCAAACAAGGCATTAGCCTGTGCACTTGGGGGCGGTGTTTTATGCCGTCCCCTGGAAAGTGCCGCCCAAGGCAAATGCCTCGTTTGCCTTCTGGTAGATACAGCCGTGATTATATACATAGGATGTATCCACTAAACTCTGAATTAAAGCAAATTTAAATCCGAATGGCAATATTTAGATATTTTTAACTAACGTTTGCTGCTTACATTTTCAATTTGCTACAAATCGGATTTTAGTGAATAACCCCCAAAAGAGTTTGCAAGTTCTTAAAGTCTCCGGAGACAGGTGTAGACAATCCACAGTTTATTCATGATTTATTCTAACAGAATTGAAAACCCAATTGTAAAAATGATTCTAAGGGGTTCATTCACTAAACTGTGGACAGCAGCAAATTAAAATCTGAACAGCAAAATGTTGGAAGAAGATTTCAAATTAGTTATAGTCACAACTTTTTTTTTCCCATTTCATTGTTATTTGAAAACTGAGCAAAAAAATCTTGCAATTCTGATATTTACTAATGGCGCGTTTAACTTTTGGTGTCTGGCCGAAAATCAGATTTTTTTTAAAATCAAACTATCACATACTGTGAGACTTAAAGACGATTGCTGTTTAATGAATGAGTGAGTGCGCTGGATCTTGTATGTTGTTTGATTCTGTACCAACAAAGTTGCTGCTGAATAATTATCTTGTATAATTTTGCTGAATAATTATCTTGTATAAATGATTCCATATTTTTTTTTTTTTTTAACAGCTCGAAAAAGCTGCTAATCTCTTGAGAGAGGACACACTCTTTACACAGAAAGCAATTCAGCAAGATTATCTAGTTAAAGGAACCCTACAGAATCAGGAACACAAACATGTATTCCTGACCCAACAATGCTAAAAATAATATCTAGCCCCCATGGGTCCCCTTGACCCCCTAAATATAGTAAAATATCACCTTTATTCCAGTCTGCTGCTGCTGGCTCTGTTCCTGATCTGCCTCCTTGGCTGACATCATCAGAAGTGGTGATCTCAGCCAATCACAATGCTTTTTCCATAGATTGTCAAGGAAGCAGATCAGGGACATAGCCAGCACAAGTCAAACACAGCCCTGGCCAATCAACATTTCCTCATAGAGATGCATTAAATCAATGCCTGTCTGAAAGGAATAGATATAAAAGCAGGGAGAAAAAAAAAAAGGAAAATATATAGTGCTGCACCACTCCTTGTACTTTCATCTGTTTATGGATGGTACGAGGTGATTTAGCTGCCATTTGGACTGTTCCAGTTATTGCTTAGCGCTGAATACCCATTAGTTTTTTCTCTATAAGGAATGTTCAGTGTATCATTGCATAGGGTGGAGACATTGAATGTCAGTCACACTGCGCAGCACTGCACCAGGAAGTAGCTCTAGTAGCCATCTGAGGAGTGGCCAGTAGAGGTGTCCCTAGGCTGTAATGTAAACACGGCATTTTCTCTGAAAAGACCGTGTTTACTGCAAAAAAAAAAAAACGAAAGAGAATGATTCTGTTTACCAGAACAAATACAATATGCTGTAACTGTTCTGGTGACTAGAAGTGTCCATTTAACAAATTCCAGTAATATGTGACTACACTATTTATTCTATGTAAAAATAATGCTTCAGGACATATAAATTTAGTGATTGGAAACGTTTTATTTTATATCTTTTTATTGAAAGAATTGGTTACAAACAAAGATACATACAACGCAGCTAAACTAGTATGCAGTAATGTCAAGTCACAGGAACATAGGATAGCAAAAAATTTATCTGCAAATAGCAAAGAAGGCCCAGTAAGTTATAGGGTTACTCTTAGCACCACTATCACTTCATCGTACTGATGTGGTTGTGTTGCAGATAACCTGCTCATGCAGCCTTTCTGTTTAAATTTAAAAAAAAGAACTATTCCAGAGATAAATAGCTTGATTTCAGCTCATACAGAAATTAACGTGTTCGGTTTTGGAGGTGTAAATCCAACTCTGCTAGCATCATTAAAAGAACTCTGTATTGTTATAAATACATATCTGTATTCCCAACACTAAAGCCCTAATGTCCCTTATAAATAAATTAGGTAAAATAAAATAAAACTAGATAAATTAAAATAAAGCAAATTATTCACCTTTTCTCCAGCTCCGAGTCCCCCTTGGCACTTCCATGACCTCTTCCTGATGATGGGCCAATTCTATACTCCTCGTAGAGAAGCATTGGGGACCTTAAGCGCTTGTGCGGCAATCACCACGATTCTCCTACGATTCCTCCATAGAAAAATATCGTATTCAATTATTCTTTGTGGCAACCGTGATGGCACTGCACATGTGCGTGTGACGTCACGGTATGTTATGGTATGAGAATCAGAAAGTAAAAGACCAGTGTCACTTTTACCAGCCCAAAACAACGTTATGAAAATGCAGTTTCTTGGTTGGAGTAACCACTCAATTTTTCAGAGGGTCACTTACAACTCTAAATAAATATAACATTAAAAATAAAATACATGTTTTCATTCTCATGCCCTTTCCAGGTTGTGCAATAATTAAAATCCCTTTAACTACTATCTGTTTTATTTAATCAAAACAACAGAGATATACCTAAACTAAACAAACACACAAAAAAAAATATTTTAGAATAATAATGTAAAAATACTGCAAGACCCCAATTTTTCAAGGTTACACTCACAGGAATTCAGATATAAGCAGGCACATCACATAAAATGTAGACTGCAGGTTTCTGGTATCCTGTATTTTTGGGAAATCAGATGGCTTGTGTGAAAAGAAAATGAAAACATATAGTGCAACATTGTAAGTAAAAGTAACAATGAGTTACAATGTTGCACTATATGTTTTCATTTTCTTTTCACACATACAGTACAGGATACCAGAAACCTACAGTCTACATTGTATGTGATGTGCCTGCTTATATCTGAAATCCTATGAGTGCAACCTTGAAAAATTGGGGTCTTGCAGTATTTTTACATTATTATTCTATGAGATTTTTTGGATTTTTGTTTGTGTTTGTTTGGTTTAGGTATATCTCTGTTATTCTGTTTACATTATTTGAGGATAAGAGGACTTCTTGTTATACCAGAGAATAAAAAAAGGGTAATATCTCCTCTTCTTTGTATTTTATCTATACTGCACTTTTTGGTGGTTTAATATATTTGCACATTTTCTGTTTTATTTAATGCTGGAGTTATCGCCTCATTTTTTATTGCACGTAAAATATATTGTTAATAATTCACTGAAGAACAAAGTAGGTTTGTGTTGTGTAATGTTTTGTCTTACTATACAGTGTGTTTTTTTTCTTAGGCAGGATAAAGAATGGATCGTCACTCCAGTTCAAGGTCTAACGGATCAGCTTCAAAGGTATTTGTCTGCTATAAAATCTTCGTCAATAAAATTTCCAATATTAATTTACTTTGATGAGGTTTAATATCATTCTTTAGTAACAAGGGATGCGTCATCAACATTGTTTCATGCATGTTCAAAATCTAGGGGAATGTTTGCTGTGTCACATATTGATGAGCTTATTAAAAACAATCTATTTCAAGACTTCATTGTTTTTTTTTTTATATTTAACAAGGCAAAAAACTTCTATTCTGGGGCTGGGTGCTAAATACGGAGCAATCTCCATAGGAACCAAGGGAATGTCCCTCAGCATTTAGCAAAATTTCTCCAGAGTAGATGCAGCTTTGACTTGATAATTATGACCATATGATAGTTATGTATAAAGAGCAATTCTATAACAAGGTTCTAAAATGGAAACCATTAGACCATTAGCTGAATCATTTGTCGTTAGCACTTTGGCATGATGTAGTATCATAGAGAATGGTTATCAAAAGAATTACAGCTTTGATATATGTTTTAAAAATTGTTCTTTAAAACTGATAGTAGTCTCTTAGTGCATTTCCTTCTTCTTGTAATCACTGAACGACAATTTGGTAATGGCTGACTATCCTTAGCAATTACATGTTAGTTAGTTCCTTGCTATGAATGTAACTTTAAAAAAATCAAATTAAAGAGACACTATAGTCACCAAAACAACTTTAGTTATATGAAGCAGTTTTGGTGTATAGATCATGCCCCTGCAGCCTCACTGCTCAATTATCTGCCATTTAGGAGTTAAATCACTTTGTTTATGCAGCCCTAACCACACCTCCCTGCATGTAATTTACACCACCTTCCTAAACACTTTCTATAAAGTCATCTAATTTTTACACTTCCTTTATTGCAAATTATGTTTAATTTAGAATATTTTATCTCCTGCTGTGCTAATAGCTTTCTAGACCCTGTGTGTGTGATTAAAGTTCAGTTTACAAAGCAGGAGATGAAAACTTTAAAAGTAAGTTACATCTAATTGAAAATGAGACCATTTTGTTTTCATATAGGCTCTGTGAGTCATAGCCATAGGAGGTGTGCATAAACAGAAACTAAAGTGATTTAACTCCTAAATAGAAGAGAATTGAGCAGTGCGAATGCAGAGGCATGATCTATACACCAAAACTGCTTCATTCAGCTAAAGTTGTTTTGGTGACTATAGTGTCCCTTTAAAAATATAATTTTGGATTTTTTTTTCAGTAGCGCTAGTAAGATATTTGCCCGTAGAGAGTAACTCAATTTGGAGACATGTTAAAACATAATACAACAAGTAAGCAAACAACACAGAGCAAGAGTGGATATTGTAGTAATTAGTGTATATTTATATAGTATACAATATATAAATACAGATATGTTTACCGCCTCTTCCATTTTCCTCTCTGTTGCTCACTTTTCACTCGATCTGTGAATAAAATTAACATTTAGTGACTGTCCCCTAGACATCAATCTTCTTTTTCTCCCATCAATCATCAATTTTTATGGCGGTATGGGTGGGATTCAGAAAACTGACCCTTCTGAACATTTTCGTCTATTTTGTTTTTCGGTTAGTCTGTGATTCAAATATTATGGCTCAAAATTCGGAAGTCGGCCAAGCACCCAATCAGCCTAAATTCAGCCGAATGGAATGAATATCCACTTCTGTTCTACAACAGTACAATAACATATTTACTAAAGTGAAGATTCAAAGTAAATTTCACATCTAAGGCCAGAGAAGCCAAACTGAAAGCATCACTGATTAGAGAATTTTTCCAGTTTTGCTATTTGGACATTATATTTGAAACTCACTTAGAGTTCTCACTTTAGCGAGTATCTGTAAGTATACAATATCACATTTATTAGGCCTTCTTGGTCTTTTGTGGTCTTATCATAGATATTTATTATTTCCTGCAAGGGATTCATAACATCATGTTACATTGTGTTTAGTTCTTTATTTTGCTATTTTCAGAAGCAGGAACCAGTGGTACTTACAGCAGTGGCTTTGCAAGATCATATTTTGCAGAACCTTGACCTCCAGGACCTCTCACTATGCGATGTATTCCACACACATAAAAGGACGAAGAAGACAAGCCACCGACCTATCAACAGAAACCTAGTCAAAGCAGTGGTAGATACTGGAATTAGAAGGAAGTCTCCTACTAAGCTTACAGTACCTAATGCAGAGGAAGAATATGTTCTTGATCCTTTTCCTCCACCCTTAACACTGGGCAAGTAATCCATTTATGTGCTTATTTACTAAACTCAGATTTTTTTCTAAATTATGATTATGGTTGAGCTGAGAATTGTTCCAGATTAGTTACGAATGCCTCAGTTTTTCCATTCAGATTTAATTCCAAAAATTTCAGGGTCCTGTGAAAAAAGCCTGTTATTCAAAAACTTTAGTAAAGTTACAAGAATCAGGAACTCAAAGTGTGTCAAAAAATGAAATATAGTTTCTTTATATAGGAGTAAAAAATGCATCTTCTGTTGCTCTACGATTTTAATACAGTTTATCCATACAATTATAGTTCTACCCAGAGATTATTGTACTAATAAATTCCTTAAACACATTTAAAGACACAATCCATTGAATGAGCTATAACATCTGAAGAGAGTGTTAAAGGAATATGATAAATTGCTTTTTTTAAAACCCTTAGAAGGACCCTATAAGCAGCTCAACCACTTCGGCTCATTGAAGTGGTTTTGGTGCAATGCCCCTGTGCCCTTAATGCTGCAGTGTTAATTAGTGCAGTTTATGAGAAACTGCAATAATTACATTGCAGAGTTAACTCCTCCTCTAGTGTCTGTCTACCAGACAGCCACTAGAGGCACTTCCTGGTATTTCACAGAGTTTTACTGTTCCCATATGTCAAACATGTTGTTACAATTAATTGTTTGTCTTATCTTACCTATCGTACAGTGCTGTAGAATATGTTGGAGCTATATAAATAATTGTAATTGTTTGAAGGGGTAATCCAGATAAACCAGTAAAAAAAAAGAAAAGCCCATGCTGATATCTCATGGAAATGCAATAAATGTGTAAGATTAACAGGCAAGCACAGCTTTCAGGCCAAATCATGCTTCAGGATAAACTAGCTTGGATCATGTCTCTGAGGTCTTGTTGACACGAGTATGGGTTTCTGTGTGGGAGATTGATAATCCTCTTTACCAGGCCGGACTCCACGGTGAGCCAAAATAACTGTCTCTGTATGGCTGCCCATATCCGGATTGTATCTGATAAAGTACTAAACTCAGTCATTGTTTCTCTTCGGGTCTAGATGATTTAATGTCCCAGATAACACAGAGGGCTGTGTTTGGTCTTCTCACTGTGCTTCTCTTGTTTTCAACACAATTTCTTTTCCATATTCACCGTTGTTCTACTTTCCCAGATCTGCCAAGACTTGGATTGTACAACATAGTTCCGAAGCATCTAAGATAAAAATGTTGAGACAATTTAGGACAGGAATCTGCAATGACAGCTGAACTATAACTATGATAGCTTGCCAACCAGACTTTAGAGGTGCATCTGCATCGTGTACCCAAATTCACAATTTTAGGACATGTGATGTTGGGAGGTATGCTATTTTGGGCGCAAGTCCTTCTGCCCTCTTTTCTAGGAGTCCATATTGTTATTGTGTCTAAGTGTATACCATCACCAATACTCCCAGTATTGATAAATGTGTTTAATAATCAGTCTGTGTTAATAAGATATGTTGTTTGTGTTATAAATTAAATTTTTATTAGTAAGTCACCTGAAATTTCTCAAAACAGCCCCGCCCCTGGCCAACCCCCACTTACACACCTACATTTTAAGAGCCCCTTGTTATTCATTTGACAAGTCGGCAGGGCCAGATTTGACACAAGGCTACTGAGGGGCAGCAGTCTGTAGAGAGCGGCATGGCAGGGGGGGAGATCAAGCATCTCACTCATCAGCTAGCCCATTCTCCTATTGTGTGGCCGAGTGTGATAGGGGATATTTCTCTGGCTGGCCCCTCCATGGCCGGCCTTGAATAGAGAGGCTTAGCTTGGATCGTCGCTCTGAGGTCAACTCACTCCATTACAGCACCTATCACCCAACTATACCCACTGCTCATCCTGCTACAGACCCTATTCCCCCCACTATAGCTGCTATAGATGCTCTCACCCACACTATACCTCTTGTCACCTCACTACAGCCGCTGTCACTCAACTATATCCACTTTTTACTACATAATAGTCCCTCTCCTCGCACTACATCCCCACTATAGCCACTACTGATATATATTGTAATGGAGCTCCCCGTACTCCGACCGAGTTCCCTCCATTGATGGAAGCTTCCTAGCTTGCGCCGAGGACCACAAGCACCGCACCGGACACTACAACCACCGCAGACTCCGCAACCGCTGTAGCTTGACTGGAGTCTCGCTGTCTTCCTTCCACCTTGGATCAGTCCTCCAGGACCGTGTGGGAAAGACCTCTCCTCCAAGGAGAGCGTGTCAGGAACAATCTCTTAAAAGAGCTAAGTGATTTAAGCTCAGGGGAGAATGCAGAGCATAGCAATCCCCAGTGTGATTATAACAGATAAAACAGACAAGGCTACGTTTAGAGGCATCAAGAATAACTGTCTAACTTGGGACTAGAGATGTCGCGAACCGTCCGCGAACGGTTCGCCGTGGTTCGCCACGAACTGTTCGCGGCGAACTCCGGTCAGCTGGCACATCCCGGCCAATCTCCAACAGACCCTCCCTCCCAGACCCTCCTACTTCCTGGACAGCATCCATGTTAAAGCTGCCTTCAACATGGATGCTGTCCAGGAGGTGGGAGGGTCTGGGAGGGAGGGTCTGCTGGAGATTGGCCGGGATGTGTCAGCTGATCGGAGTTCGCCGCGAACAGTTTGCGGAGAACCGCGGCAAACCGTTCGCGAGAAGTTCGCGGACGGTTCGCGACATCTCTACTTGGGACTAGCCCATATGGTCTTTACATTAACATTGCCCCAAAAACTCAATAAAATTACAAACAGTCAAATCATAGCAGGCAACATACAGTGACTTATTATAACACAATGGCATATTTTTAAAGGGGTGGGGGAGGCAATTTTTTCACAGAAAATATCTCACATGCCTGCAGAATTAGCAATATGCAAATCTACCTGAATATGCAAATGAACCAGTCTTGCTATTCAGGTAGTGCATATTGCTGTTGCTACCAACAGAGGGCACTAGACAAGCTCTATAGCCAAATCCACCTAGTTGGTAGCAAACCTCAGCAGTACACGAGAGCAGACAATACATTTCACAGTACACACACACACTATAAACAATTACATTACACACACTCTGCACCTATAATGGGTACAGGGTGACTAAAACATAAGAGAGATAAAGCAACCTACATAAATAGTCTGTCTGAAGGTAGAATAGGGGCTTTAAAGCCAAATACATCAAAGAGTCATAGTCCCAGGGGAGGAGGCTGGCAAGCAGGCCTCTCCCAGACCAAGTGGCGACACATATATATATAGCAGCGGTGTGCATTCAGGAGACTGGCCTTGGGGCTGTATGGAGGATAAATCCGGCCATGTATGTTGGGAGTTATGGTATACACATTAGGGATAACTAATGTGTCTAAACTACTGGACTGTACAGTGTCACAAAACTGGTTCTACATTAAAGCTACATATATGCATTACATCGATTTTCTCACTCAGATGAAGAAACACTTGTTCACATTACACTGCTAGTTTAGATGTGGCTTCCTCTGCTTGGTATATAATAACCTAAGTACCACTAACCAAGAGCAATCTACAATTAGGAATTTGCTGACTAAACTGGAATTTGAAGTGACATGAATTGGAAAAATTCTCCAGCGTGGCTGTTTTAGACAAACTTCAGTTCATTGCAGTTTCAAGTTTATAGAATAAACCCAGTTTAAAGTTTATAGAATAGACCAATTATATCTATCTTTTATTTGGTCTATTCATTTGATTGCCTCGGTGATTCTGACCAGGATCCCTTTAAGAGCATGCATCCAGGTCAGTTCAATTTGAAGTCTCTAATTTTAATTTTATAGAATATGCCAGACTAAGATTTACTTATTTTAATTTATTGCATAGGTATTGTATTCGAAAATATGCAAAAGAGTAAATTTGTTGCAAATCTGTAAACTTTGCTGCTTCTACAGTGAAGTCAGCACTGAGTAGGAATCAACGCAGCCAATCATGATTCTAATTTCTATAGCAGTGCTAAGCTTATCATTAAATCTTTGCACAGCACAGCAGTGTTCTATATCAGTGTTCTATCTTTGCACAGCAGTGTTCTATATCAGTGTTCTATCTTTGCACAGTACAGCAGTGTTCTATATCAGTGTTCGATCTTTGCACAGCACAGCAGTGTTCTATATCAGTGTTCTATATCAGTGTTCTATCTTTGCACAGCAGTGTTCTATCTTTGCACAGCAGTGTTCTATATCAGTGTTCTATCTTTGCACAGCGGTGTTCTATATCAGTGTTCTATCTTTGCACAGCAGTGTTCTATATCAGTTTCGATCTTTGCACAGCAGTGTTCTATATCAGTGTTCTATCTTTGCACAGCACAGAAGTGTTCTATATCAGTGTTCTATCTTTGCACAGCAGTATTCTATATCAGTGTTCTATCTTTGCATAGTAGTGTTCTATATCAGTGTTCGATCTTTGCACAGCAGTGTTCTATATCAGTGTTCGATCTTTGCACAGCAGTGTTCTATATCAGTGTTCTATCTTTGCACAGCAGTGTTCTATATCAGTGTTCTATCTTTGCACAGCAGTGTTCTAGATCAGTGTTCTATATCAGTGTTCTATCTTTGCACAGCAGTGTTCTATATCAGTGTTCTATCTTTGCACAGCAGTGTTCTATATCAGTGTTCTATCTTTGCACAGCGGTGTTCTATATCAGTGTTCTATCTTTGCACAGCAGTGTTCTATATCAGTTTCGATCTTTGCACAGCAGTGTTCTATATCAGTGTTCTATCTTTGCACAGCACAGCAGTGTTCTATATCAGTGTTCTATCTTTGCACAGCAGTGTTCTATATCAGTGTTCTATCTTTGCATAGTAGTGTTCTATATCAGTGTTCGATCTTTGCACAGTGTTCTATATCAGTAAGTTCGACCTTGTACAAAAGTATTGTCTCTCCTATATCAGTGTTCTATCTGTACAGTGCAGTGTTCTATATCATCGGTGTTTGATCTTGCACAGCAGTGTTCTCCCATATAATAGTGTTCATCTTTGCACAGCAGTGTTCTATATCAGTGTTCTATTTTGCACTGTACAGCAGTAAGTTCTATATCAGTGTTCTATCTCTTTGCACAGCAGTGTTCTATATCAGTGTTCCCATCTTTGCAACAGCAGTGTTCTATACCAGTGTTCGACCTTGCACAGCAGTGTTCTATATCAGTGTTCGATCTTTTACAGCAGTGTTCTATACCAGTGTTCGATCTTGCAGCAGTGTTCTATATCAGTGTTCCTGACCTTGCAGCAGTGTTCTATATCAGTGTTCTATCTTGGGTATTGGTGTGGAGTGCCTAAGTATCAGTGTTCATCTTGCACGGCAGTGTTCTATATCAGTGTTCGATCTTTGCACAGCAGTGTTCTATATCAGTGTTCTATCTTTGCACGGCAGTGTTCTATATCAGTGTTCTATCTTTGCACAGCAGTGTTCTATATCAGTGTTCGACCTTTGCACAGCAGTGTTCTATATCAGTGTTCTATCTTTGCACAGCAGTGTTCTATATCAGTGTTCTGTCTTTGCACAGCAGTGTTCTATATCAGTGTTTGATCTTTGCACAGCAGTGTTCTATATCAGTGTTCGATCTTTGCACAGCAGTGTTCTATATCAGTGTTCTATCTTTGCACAGCAGTGTTCTATATCAGTGTTCTGTCTTTGCACAGCAGTGTTCTATATCAGTGTTTGATCTTTGCACAGCAGTGTTCTATATCAGTGTTCGATCTTTGCACGGCAGTGTTCTATATCAGTGTTCTGTCTTTGCACAGCAGTGTTCTATATCAGTGTTCTATCTTTGCACAGCAGTGTTCTATATCAGTGTTCTATCTTTGCACGGCAGTGTTCTATATCAGTGTTCTGTCTTTGCACAGCAGTGTTCTATATCAGTGTTTGATCTTTGCACAGCAGTGTTCTATATCAGTGTTCGATCTTTGCACAGCAGTGTTCTATATCAGTGTTCTATCTTTGCACAGCAGTGTTCTATATCAGTGTTCTATCTTTGCACAGCAGTGTTCTATATAAGTGTTCGATCTTTGCACAGCAGTGTTCTATATCAGTGTTCTGTCTTTGCACAGCAGTGTTCTATATCAGTGTTTGATCTTTGCACAGCAGTGTTCTATATCAGTGTTCGATCTTTGCACGGCAGTGTTCTATATCAGTGTTCTGTCTTTGCACAGCAGTGTTCTATATCAGTGTTCTATCTTTGCACAGCAGTGTTCTATATCAGTGTTCTATCTTTGCACGGCAGTGTTCTATATCAGTGTTCTGTCTTTGCACAGCAGTGTTCTATATCAGTGTTCTATCTTTGCACAGCAGTGTTCTATATAAGTGTTCGATCTTTGCACAGCAGTGTTCTATATCAGTGTTCTATCTTTGCACAGCAGTCTTCTATATCAGTGTTCGATCTTTGCACGGCAGTGTTCTATATTAGTGTTCTATCTTTGCACAGCAGTGTTCTATATCAGTGTTCGATCTTTGCACAGCAGTGTTCTATATCAGTGTTCTATCTTTGCACAGCAGTGTTCTATATCAGTGTTCTATCTTTGCACAGCAGTGTTCTATATAAGTGTTCTATCTTTGCACAGCAGTGTTCTATATCAGTGTTCGATCTTTGCACAGCAGTGTTCTATATCAGTGTTCTATCTTTGCACGGCAGTGTTCTATATCAGTGTTCTATCTTTGCACAGCAGTGTTCTATATCAGTGTTCGACCTTTGCACAGCAGTGTTCTATATCAGTGTTCTATCTTTGCACAGCAGTGTTCTATATCAGTGTTCTGTCTTTGCACAGCAGTGTTCTATATCAGTGTTTGATCTTTGCACAGCAGTGTTCTATATCAGTGTTCGATCTTTGCACGGCAGTGTTCTATATCAGTGTTCTGTCTTTGCACAGCAGTGTTCTATATCAGTGTTCTATCTTTGCACAGCAGTGTTCTATATCAGTGTTCTATCTTTGCACGGCAGTGTTCTATATCAGTGTTCTGTCTTTGCACAGCAGTGTTCTATATCAGTGTTCGATCTTTGCACAGCAGTGTTCTATATCAGTGTTCTATCTTTGCACAGCAGTGTTCTATAATCAGTGTTCTATCTTTGCACAGCAGTGTTCTATATAAGTGTTCGATCTTTGCACGGCAGTGTTCTATATCAGTGTTCGATCTTTGCACAGCAGTGTTCTATATCAGTGTTCTATCTTTGCACGGCAGTGTTCTATATCAGTGTTCTATCTTTGCACGGCAGTGTTCTATATCAGTGTTCTATCTTTGCACGGCAGTGTTCTATATCAGTGTTCTGTCTTTGCACGGCAGTGTTCTATATTAGTGTTCTGTCTTTGCACGGCAGTGTTCTATATCAGTGTTCTGTCTTTGCACAGCAGTGTTCTATATCAGTGTTCGATCTTTGCACAGCAGTGTTCTATATCAGTGTTCGATCTTTGCACAGCAGTGTTCTATATCAGTGTTCGATCTTTGCACAGCAGTGTTCTATATCAGTGTTCGATCTTTGCACAGCAGTGTTCTATATCAGCGTTCTATCTTTGCACAGCAGTGTTCTATGGGCTCAGGAGGCGATATTGGATTTGCAGTTTAATTACTGCTTTGTATATTGTAACATATTTAATGTCAATGATATTCTATTAGCAAGAACTATGTGTTTTATTACTTAAAGAAGGTTTTGATGTTGTTAAATTAAATGCGAACATGAACAATTTAACCCAGTTTACATTTCAACACACCCTGTAAAGTAATTATGTGGTTTTGTACTAACACACATCAGTTTACATAAAGCTACAGAGACGAACTCATTTTTTTTTTAAAACTCTCACACATATTGTTATTTTCTTTTTTATTATTTGGTGATTTGCAGTAAAAGTAGGCAGCGCACAATAAAGAGAACAAGAACATATAAATACAGGATACGTAAGAAACATGTCAACAACATATTAAAAGAAAGAAAATTAAATAAAAATTAGAATTAAAAGTAAAATGACAGATCTTATCAGCCCAAAAACTCGTAGCAAGACATTGGAAAACAGTTACGATACCCGCCATATCTCCGCTTAAGGTTGACATTGATACCCAGAGAGACTATGAAACTAGACTCACATCTATATTTTCCTCCACAAAACTAGTCACAGAGACATGGCACCTGTGGGACACATGGAGACTGGGTAAACTGAATTAGCTGTACCCTGATTGTGAGATTACATGTGGGACACATGGAGACTGGGTAAACTGAATTAGCTGTACCCTGATTGTGAGATTACATGTGGGACACATGGAGATTGGGTAAACTGAATTAGCTGTACCCTGATTGTGAGATTACATGTGGGACACATGGAGACTGGGTAAACTGAATTAGCTGTACCCTGATTGTGAGATTACATGTGGGACACATGGAGACTGGGTAAACTGAATTAGCTGTACCCTGATTGTGAGATTCCATGTGGGACACATGGAGACTGGGTAAACTGAATTAGCTGTACCCTGATTGTGAGATTCCATGTGGGACACATGGAGACTGGGTAAACTGAATTAGCTGTACCCTGATTGTGAGATTCCATGTGGGACACATGGAGACTGGGTAAACTGGATTAGCTGTACCCTGATTGTGAGATTCCATGTGGGACACATGGAGACTGGGTAAACTGGATTAGCTGTACCCTGATTGTGAGATTCCATGTGGGACACATGGAGACTGGGTAAACTGAATTAGCTGTACCTTGATTGTGAGATTCCATGTGGGACACATGGAGACTGGGTAAACTGAATTAGCTGTACCTTGATTGTGAGATTACATGTGGGACACATGGAGACTGGGTAAACTGAATTAGCTGTACCCTGATTGTGAGATTACATGTGGGACACATGGAGACTGGGTAAACTGAATTAGCTGTACCCTGATTGTGAGATTACATGTGGGACACATGGAGACTGGGTAAACTGAATTAGCTGTACCCTGATTGTGAGATTACATGTGGGACACATGGAGACTGGGTAAACTGAATTAGCTGTACCCTGATTGTGAGATTACATGTGGGACACATGGAGATTGGGTAAACTGAATTAGCTGTACCCTGATTGTGAGATTACATGTGGGACACATGGAGACTGGGTAAACTGAATTAGCTGTACCCTGATTGTGAGATTACATGTGGGACACATGGAGACTGGGTAAACTGAATTAGCTGTACCCTGATTGTGAGAATACATGTGGGACACATGGAGACTGGGTAAACTGAATTAGCTGTACCCTGATTGTGAGATTACATGTTGCCATTCCCTACAGGGATCCTATATTGTTTTATGGTGTAACGAAGGTCATTCAGGGAGGAATGACAAGTCTTTGCCGAATAATCGGACACAACACATTCTTACTAACTATTATACTGTATGCTGTCGATTGTACTGTATGCTGTCAATGAAACGCTAGCCCCCCCCCCCCTTTTCTTTCCTTTCTGTACTCTACCCTACTTTACTTTTGAAAAAAGCAACGAAAAAAATTGAAATGGAAAAAAAAATGTAAAATTACGACCATCCAATAAAAAAAAAGAATAAAATGAATGGAAAATACATATATTATCATTATTATTTTATTATTTATATAGCGCCATCAAATTCTGTAGCACTGTACAATGGGTGATATACTTATAATATGAATACATGCTAGCGCATATTGTTAAAATACAGCAAGTGAATGGCCCCATATATAAGTTACAGGAAAACAAGTACATATGAGACTCTTTTTTTTTTTAAATATTCATTCTAAACTATTTTGTATAAAACACTGAAAAAATTGTGTATTAGCAGAAAATGTACTGTAGGTGACTGTAATTTAGAAAAATGTGTTTGTAAACGCAAGCCTGTATTGTTTAACAACTTTGGTTGGTTTCCAGCTCAGAAACTTGGCATTGTTGAGGCACCTGCCATGCCTCTAACACCCGAAGAATGGGGAAAAGTGAAGAAGAGGTCCATTGATCAGGGAGACTCATCTCAACCGTGTGTCATATGCAAAGAAGACTTTCAACTCCAAGCCCAGGTATTTCTACCACGTTTCGCATTCGGAATGCTTCATTGCATCAGCTAGACTTGTGCTTTCAATTTCGAATAAATTGTGATTTGTCCAAATTCCGAAACTTCAAAAACGCTATATGGACGAATCACAAAACAAACTAAAGGAACAATCAACTAACAATTTTGTTTGTCTTGTGGTTTGGAGTTCCAGACATAGCGAAAAAGAAAAAAGAAAAAAAAAAGATGATTGATTGTTAGGGGATAGCTACTAAATGATGATTTTATTCACAGATCAATTGAGAAGTGTCTAATGAATATCTCTTATTTGATGGGTGGTTAAACGATGTTTATTTATTTCATAGGTGCTGCTGTCATGCTCCCATGTGTTCCACAGGGTAAGATAAATTTCTTAGAACTCAAAGAAATTGCAGTAGACACTCATGTCACATCCCACCGCATCATGGTGCAATGAACTCATGGTGCAATGGTTAATTCTAGAGGAAATATATTAATTACAACAAATTAAAAATGGATGAAGGGCGTAGCGTTTTTTACTGCACAAGGGGTGAATGTAGATGTTGCATTGATACAATTGCTGTAAAATAGATTTACAAGACTCTTTGTTTCAATAAATACTAATTAATTTCCATGTATTGTACTTTAACTGTTTCTGTGAGTCCTCTTTTCTTATCATAATTTATCATGAGTTGCATACAGACAGAAGCATTAGAAAAATGTGTTTGTAACATTTACAAGCTCTCTTATTTTTTCTTAATATTGTGCTTTCCTGATGGTTTAAATGTGAAACGTCTGTTCTGCCACGTCTTGTTCTCAGGTTTGCCTACAGGCGTTTGAAAAATTTACTGGTAAAAAGACATGTCCGATGTGTAGAAAGAGCCAGTATCAGACCCGGGTTATACATGATGGGGCCCATCTTTTCAAGGCAAAATGTGCCACAAGGTAATATAATAAATGGGAAGGGTTAATATGACGGTGTAACACTGCAGCACAAAACCTAAAAAGGTTGATTGAAAATGACAGTGAGATAAAGAGGGTTGTGTGTTTTGACAGATTGTGTTATTTTTTGTCACTGATTCTGAAAAGTTGATTAATGAGACAATCCGCAGCCCAAATACAGAACAAATACATGTGTACCCTCTACTCAAAATTTCTCATTTGAACATACTTAAAGAAATATACATGCATTATAAATGTTGAATTGGAATATGGCAGGTTAATGCCATACAAGTAAAAGGAGTCAAACGTGCAGGTCAGGTGTTACCAGTATGAGTCCATTTTGTTTGTCATTAACCTTATGATGTTTGTGTATTAATACAGACATAATGCAATTAATCATTAAAGAATGAAGTTACAATTGGTGTGGCAGACTACTTCTAGGTGACTGGAGTGTCAAAGACTCCCTTTCCCCCTTAGTGAATAGCTCCCGAGTGTTTATAGTTCAGCGCTACGGAATTTGTTGGCACTATATAAATAATAAAATAATAATAATAATCCCTAGTCATTAGCCGTGGTTTAATGTAAGGGTAAAACAAGTGCACTTTATTGCAGTGCCTTTGTCCTTTTTATACTTGGAACCCCCTACCCGTGTCTGAGGTCCTCGGGGCCATTGGGTAGGAGCACTGAGCTGGGAGGCATGACTTGGAAGGGGAATAAGTATGGGAAAATAGTATTTTTAGGAGAAGGCGGCGGCTGGGGCCATGCACAAATCCTGGGTGACCAGGTGGTCCGTCACACCTCTGTTTTAGGCTTGAGAGGTAACTGATGAGGTGACTACACAGTTCAATATTTATGTAAAACAGAAAAGTGGAGACAATTGATAGTGTAGTATATCTTGCAGGTGTTGGTAAGAAAGGAAAATAATGCACTTACACTCTTTTGAGTTAAATCTAGCTCCAATTTGAAGTATTGAGCAGTACTGAACAGTATAATCCCCAATTCAGGATATCAGAAGAGGGAACATTTTCATTTTAGGAATACCATTAACATAGGGTGTGTAAGACAAGCACAAACCGGAGCAATATAGTGTAGTAGTTTATATACTGAGCGAATAAGAAAATGTGTGACAATTCCACTCACATGTCTTGGAGCCGGTATTGACTCCTATTATGAAGCATTCTGTGATATATTCCCCACTTTAGGATTTCTGTAGATGTGGTATCCTCAACATGAATATGTGAAAACACTAACTTTTTAACAAAGGATCCGGATAATGATGATTTAAATAATAAAAGAGGTAGAAATTGTTGAATGTAATCCAAGGCTTTATTTAACACATAAAACAAGTTAAAAAAAAAAACACATTTCACATTTTTCCAAAGTGTACATAAACTTCTAGAGTCCTCGATATATATGTAGAAATGCCAATTTCTAAATTTTGCGGCTAAATTACATCATAGTCACATGACCGCAATGTAACTAGCAAATAACACAATATAATTAAAAAGCTATTTCAACGCAGATAACAATAATAAATATTTCTATTACACGTAAAAAAAAAGTTAACATTTGCGGTAAGAGCTGTAAAAAGCTATAAAAAGTGTGATCACAAGGTCGCGGCATAATGTCATTCTGCATCACGTGGTCGCAGTTTACTTAATTGATGTACATTTAGCACCGAGATAGTGGCAAGTATCTAAGCAGGTTACTGAGGGATAAAAACAAGTGTTCTATAAAAGCGTATGGTAGCTAGAGATATGGGCTTCAATAAAATGGAGCCCAAATTGAAGAGCTAGACGCCAGTAATACAGCATTGTTCCAAATCACATGATCATGGTCAAGCACAACTATATACAAATAAATAACCTTAAACTATGATTATGAAGAGGGGGATATAGGCTACTAAAAAGACATGAGGGGACTGTGTTGCTGCCTGCAGCCCACTCTAAGATACATCTCAGAGCTGAACCATTTGTATTTTATACACCTGATTTTAAGCTAATAACAGTTTCAAACATCTGTATCCAAATGAAAACATTTATGGCATTTACCAATCCACTCACGCATTTAGAAAGTTTTAGAAAACTTTATCAATTGCATACTGGTGCTGGATTGTTATCAGTACCAGAGTTAGGGAACGATAACATTAGGACCCCTGGTCTACTTGGAAACTTTTGAAAGATCATGTACATTTTCCTAGTTAAATCATTTGCTTTTATTATGAAAAGTTGCATTTTACCATATATGTATATTCTATAAATATAGAGGGATCTTTCTCAAGATGTCTTGCCCTATCTGCAAACATTGCAGTTATTTATCAGCCCCCTTGTTCTCCACGTCACATCCTTGACCATTTTGCTGCCTTTCAAGCAATATCCCATCCCTTGTCCTCTGGGTTTTCAACATTCCCATAAACTCACCCTTGTCCTCGGTAGCTTCAAAACTCATTTCAATCACCACCTCCTTTGGGCTATCGCAATGGGCTAATTCTCCCACACATGTAGCTGGCAATACTCTAGATCAGGCATAGGCAACCTTCGGCATTCCAGATGTTTTGGATTACACCTAACATGATGCTTTGTCAGCATTATGGGTGTAAGAGCATTATGAGGGATGTAGTCCACAACATCTGGAGTCCCGAAGGTTGCTTATCCCCGCCCTAGATCATATTTTTTCAAATGCATGCAATTCTCCAATTTCTGTAATACTCCATTTCCTCTATCAGGCCACCACCTCCTATTATTTGTCCTTGAGTGCCCCCACACCTAATATATGCAACCTAATCCTCCTCAACTCAGGAGGAATTTCAATTCTCTTGATCTCCAGCAGCTCTCGACTGATATCCATTCTGAACTCTCATCCATCCCTACCCTCTCCTGTCCCTCTCTGGCTATCTCCTCATACAACGCTACCCTCACCTCTGTCCTAGACAATGCAGCCCTGCTCCAAGCACACACCTCAAGGAGGGTGCGCCTCCAAACGTGGCATGCTAAGTCAACACGCTACCTGTAGAGATGCTCCTGTTCAACGGAACGCTGTTGCAGGAAGGCTCGCAACTTGTCAGACTTTCTACACTATAAATTTGTCTTGCGTTCATACAGCACAGCCCTCACCCTTGCAAAACAGTCCTACTTTTCTTCTCTCATTAATTCATGCTCCTAGTCATCACTTTAATACTTTTAACTCTCTTCTTTGTCCTGCTTTGGCCACCCCACAAACTGATCTTTCAGCTGATAGCTTTGCATGTTACTTTACTGACAAGATTATAAACAGTTAAGGAATTAATTCTCTCTCCTTCTCCCCTCTCTATCTCAACCTCACTTGGACCATACCATCCCTACCCTCCAAGACATCCCTCCAGCTACTGAACAGGAGGTGGCTGCACTTCTCCTTTCCTCTCGTCCCACCACGTGTCCGCTTTATCCCATCCCGTCCCACATCATCACATCTCTCGCCCCTTATCTGGTGCAGTTGTTAAAGCACATCTTCAACTGCTCTCTTTCTTCTGGTGTTGTCCCAGCTCCCCTTAAACATGTTACTGTTGTACCTGTCCTCAAAAAGCCATCTCTTGACCCTACTTCCATTACGTCACTCTTTACCCGTCTGACTTGCTTCCTCAATTCCAACTCTCTCCTTGACCCTCTTCAGTCTGGATTCCACCCCGTCCACTCCACAGAGACTGCTTCTTACTAGAGTTACAAATGATCTAATTGCAGCTAAATCCAAAGACCACTACTCCATACTTATTATTATTGACCTCTCTGTTGCCTTTGACACTGTTGATCATGATAGAGAAACAGGCCTCAGGAGCACTAGGCCGCCCAGGGTCAGTGGGTTAGTTTGCCACAACTTACTGTATTAAAATTAAACTTTATTAGATACTAAAAATAATTGTGAAATAAATCCATACTCAAAACCAATAAGTGAACAAGTGAAAAAATACAATAAAAACTCGTGACAGGCTGAACAGACCTTCAGGGTCCGCACTAAAAACTGAAAATGAAGCCACCTGACTGGTGGGGAAAAACCCTGGTCTAAACAATGGACAGCTCATATACTGTATATAAGCGTTCAGGGAACATTGGGTGAGCCAGGCTAAGAAAAAGGAACTATAGAGGTGCAAATACCCTCGATTGTAGTAATTGTGATACTATAAAGGAGTAGCACTAGACACCATAAATAGTGTCAAGGATGTGGAAATTATGTAGCTAAACAAGTTGGAAAGGCATGGACCTAACGGTCTCTGACAGATACTTGTAATAGTAACAAAGTTGCTAAATGTTAGATAACGTAAAAGCACACAGAGTCCAATGGGCCCTCGCTACAGTGAATCAGTGCAGCTTCATTGTAGTTGAAACAAAGCTAAACACTGATGATCTAGCACACTTTAAAGTGCAATTACCCAGATACAGTGAAAGCATTAAGCGCTTAACAGCGCATTCCTGGTGGTCTATCAAACGAGTCGACGAGGAGGGGAGGATAGACACCGGCAGAGGGTAAAAATCAAAACCTCTCCGACTACCTCCTCTATCTCCTCGGAGTCATCATAGACCTATCCACCCTGCTGTCACGCTAAATATAACGTTAGCTAGTGACCACTGAGCATACTACATATACTAAGCCCGTCTGAAACTAATCACCATCCTGTATAAATCTATGAGCTGTAACCTGCCACAAGCGAGCCTATACTGTCACACCAAATGTAACGTTGGCTAATGATCCCTACATTCACTAAACCAGCCTGAAACTAAACACCCTCCTGTGCAAATCTATAAGCTGCCGCCTGTCATGAGTGAGCCTGACGCGTGTTTCGGTGCTACCACCAGCACCTTTGTCAGAGGCAATAATCTCAAAGTATACCCTGTACTGACTGGCCTTTAAACGGAGAGCCAACCAATAGAAGCCGGGGGCGTGTATTTGCAGTTCCTACCTTAGCCCTGACGAAGGAACTGAGAAACGCCCCCTAAAGGCGCGAATACAACCTATTGGTTGCTGTCCTAATAGACTCGAACCCCTTCGTGAGATTAACCCACGGGGTGCCAGAATTCTGAAAAGCTAACCAAGCATCAAACATATGTAATCACAGAGGACCTAAAAGAAAAATAAACAAACTCACCACTAAACTAACACATGTGTCCGTTCCTTCGAATATAGAGAGCTCCGTGTAAAAGAGCAACCAATGTGTCACAAACAGCGGAACAGACTGAAATATTGGGAGCTTATAAATCCACAATTGCCTTTCTTCTATCTCTGGTTGGATGTCCTCCCACTTTCTGAAACTCATTCTCTCTAAAACAGAGTTTCTTATTTTTGCTCCTCATAACATTCCTTCACTTTTTCTGCAGGTTGACGGTACCTGCCTCACCCCATCCTTTCGAGCTTGCTGTCTTGGTGTCATTTTTGATCCTGGCCTCACCTTTGCACCTCATGCCCAGTCTGTTGCTAAAACCTGTTGATTTCAGCTTAAAAACATTGCCCCCATTCTTAGGCAAGATGCTGCCAATCTCTTGCATCGATTACTGTAATTCTCTCCTAATTGGTCTCCCCAGAAGCCATACTACCCCCTTAAAATCTGTGAAGAATGCTGCTGCCAGGCTGATCTTTCTCTCCTGTCGCTCCTCTCACACCTCACCCGTCTGTCGATCCTTACACTGACTTCCTCTACCCTACAGGTGTCAATTTAAAATACTAACCGTTACCTATAAAGCTTTAACCAACTCTTACCAACCCTCTTACATTTCTTCACTGATTCGTAAATATGCCCCCTCTTGGTCTCTCTCCTCTACTGGTGACCTTCTCCGGTCTGCTGCTTGCACCCTTACTGCAAATTTACACCTACAAGATTTCTCACGGGTGGCTCCTTTCCGCTAGAACAGCCTGCCTACCCCTGTCTGACTCTCCCCTTCAATCCTTTAAGAAGTCCCTCAAAACCCATCTTTTCAGGATTGCTTATGGCCCCCAAGAGTAACTTCTGTCTCTCAAACCTTCCTCTTGATCTCTCCTAAAGGGCCAGACTCCATTCTCACCTCCAGTTCTGCTACTTTCCCACCATGTCTATTTGTGGTCTTCCTCAATACCCTTCCTATTGTGTTTTTATACCACACTTCCTCTAGACTGTAAGCTCATTTGAGCAGGGTCCTCAACTACTTATTGCTCCTGTTCCATTTTGGTATTGTCTCATTTGGTAAATTCCCCTCTTATTGTAAAGTGCTGCAGAATAAGCTGGCGCTATATAAATACCAATAATAATAATAATGATAATAGAAAGTGGTGCAAAAATGTAAAAGAGGAGGAGTCACCAAGTGAGTATGCCTGCTGGTTTCCATGGTGATAACACCACTTTGATATATCTCCCTCATTGTGTTGTATTTTACAGGATACAAGCTTGCTGGAGAGGATACGTTGTCCGAAAATGGTACAAAAATTTAAGACACACAATTCCTCCAAAAAACCCAATGCTAAGGAAAAAGTTCTTTGAAGAAAAGGTACATTTGCTCCTTCTTTTTTTTTTTTTTTTACCAGCAATAAAAATAAAGTCCACTGAGCTGAAAATGCTAGTATTACTTTGTATTAATACATTTCCAGAAAAACGATAAATGCTGAGCCATCAATAACATTTTGATCTTTGACTCATCGAGTTCCATTTAATTTACTATGGATTGCACTTAAAAGCACTAAATGAGTATGCAGAGGCATGAACTCCTCAAATATATAAGCTCAATAAATCTAATAACTTTATTATATTCGCTCCAAGGGAGAGTTCAAAAGGCAAAATGTGTGTAGAACTGTAATATGTTAAGGAGAAGAGATAACTATAAACCTGAGCTGTGTTCTATGCCGAAATCCCCTTATACATTTGATCTAAAGACAAATTACATTTTTAAACTTGTTTTATTTTCCTCTGTTTATGTACGCTATGCAATAAGTACCTCTTTTACTATGATTGATTGTAATACCATGAATAAATATTTAGAGTACTATTAATGTATTAGTAAGGGGCGCATATCAATAATGAGTAATTAAAAATAATCTTTAAGCAACCCGACACACTAAAATAAAAAAAGTGGTGATCAGGCAATCTTTAACAGACTAGCTGTTACGTAATCCATGATTCTGATCCACTTTACTAGCGGAACATCACAGATTAGTGGTCCACACTACTGCCAAAGATTGCTCACTGCTGGGCCTAACAGTTCTTTTGGGTTATTCTGTCTTCATCAAGGAAATCATTTGAATTGAAACTCGCTTTGGTCGCTGTGACAGAGCACATTCCAAGTCTCAAAAAAATATAATGAATGGCTTTTAATGAGTTTTCTTTAATTTGACTTAACTGGAAAGTGTAAAGTTAAGGTTTCCAGAGGTATTTCTGTGTTGTTGTTTTTTTGTGAAGTCTTGTTAGGATCAATGCTAAACCGCAGAATGGAAATGATTGTAATTAATACATCCAGAATCCTCAATGAATCATTGGTTCCTGTTTTTCGGTTTATTGGGCCTAGATGGGATCTGAGACTGATATGTTTATTATCAGTCTGACAGAGCCACAGTAGTTTTACGGAGATCTAAGAGCCTCTAAAAGGTCACCGAAACTATCTCATTTATGCCAATATCCACAATGCGTGTGTACAGAATGCAAACTCTTACCTATAATGCAATAGATGGACTTGTGAGCGTCTTTGATCCTTACCTATAAACTTTGCTTGCATAAGCCATTTAATTGAAGTAGGGCATTTTATTGCTGCTATTAAATCTTTTTCATATGCGTCATATTATCTTTAGCAGAGCTTAATGTTAGTAGCGCTTTTTATAAGCGGGTAGCTCGGCTGTGAAATAAAGGAGATAGTTTGGGTATTTTCATACCCTGTTATGTGATTTCTCAAACATTTTAATTGAGATCTCACCAAACATCATAACTGCAGCGCAGTTTATTTGGCTCCCTTCATCCTATGAAGACAAACATAATCATACCTCTTTGAGGTGCACCCCCACCCCCTCTTCCCGGCTTCAACACTGGGAGGATATTAACCCCATAAAAGCTTATCACTGATGTCCTGATATGCAATAAATTCCAGCCTTTTCATTTTACTTGTGAGGATTGCCATAAGTCAACACATTAGTAAGCAATTGCTGACATTAAGATGTATTACTTGAGAAATAGAGTTCTTTAAGGTGCACAAAGTTCACCTGACTTCTTTTGTTCGCTCTGCTTAAACCTTTTCAGCTCTTCATACTTAGGCTTGCTATGTTACCTGCTCTAATTTTGTTATTGTGCGTCTGTTAACACATCTTTGTTGTATTTTTATCTTTTTTTTTTAAACTCCTGTTTTAAAAAAAAAAAATGTTGGCTATTGAGAGAATAAAAATAAGTTAGTCTCTTGTTTCTTTGTTGCATTTCTGCGTCCGTGCACCTCTTTAAGATATGGGATTTAAACATTTGAACAGGAAAGTACTTATGTTATTGGGTCGAAGTAGACAAATATCCGAGGTCAGAGTGACAGGGCTTACTGCTTGGACAGTGACTTCAGGGAAACATAAATTATACAACTTAGGGTTTATTTATTATTTATTTATTTTATAAATAAATAGATAAAGTGTATTCACTCAGCTGTGAATTTTGAAAAACTGACCAAGGGAAATTACACATTTTTGTTAAAAAAAAAAAAAAAAATGATAAAAGCTAACAAAATTGTTACCCGATCAGTTTCATTTGTTTATAAATGGAACCGAAATTTTTCATAAATATACAACAAACTAAGTTACTTTGGTATTGCTAATAAATTAATATTTTACTAACAACTGTGAGCTTCCAGTCCTATAGTAAAAGAAAAAAAAGGTAGAATCATTGGTTTGCAATTTATATATATCATAGTTAATCAGTGAAAAGACACACCTAATCTCTCTATTCATTGCTATGACATGCATGGCCAATATGCTCTTGTATATCTGTTTATTTTAAGCAACAAAAGAACTTTTAGCGAAGATAAATTAGAAACTAAATCTTAAAGGAATACATTTCTGGTTAATTGGTTTACATTAGTGCACTAATTTATAATAGCTGTCCAAATCTGTCTAGAAACAAAATAGTCCTGTCCTTTTTTCTCCAAAAAGCACAATATTGATGTTTTATGTTTGTTGCCATGTTAAGCACTGCAATTTTACCTAAGCAAACAGGACTGTAAGCCCTATGGATGCTCACTCTAACTAATGGAAAATGTCTATCCGTGCCATTAGGAATTTTTTGAACTTTTTAAAAAATGTTTTACTTGAAAGCTGAAATACTTTTGTAACGTTTCAACTAGAATTTCAGGACAATGCATTTAACATAATAGAAATGTTACCTGTGTGATTAATAATCAGTGAAGTCTATTGAAGTTTTTTCGTTTAATGTTGTGTAAATGCTTTACATGTTGTGAGAATGGCCTTATACATTTATCTGCTATCTGGAAATCTGCGCATGTAGCAGGACATATTGGGGGTTATGTATAAGGAGCTAAGGGAATGTTCACATTTATTACCAATGATATAGTGACACAGGCTCCAGTTGCTCAATTCTTGGCACTTATTTTACCTATTACAATAATTAAAATCATTTATATACCGCCAACATATTCCGCAGCTCTGTACAATATTTAAAACAAGACAAACAAGTAATTCTAACAAAACATGTCTGAATACAATACGGGGACATTGCATTCAGACAACAGTAGGTGAAGAGGGACCTCTTCTGCCAATAAGATGAGTACTGGTAATTTGGGTAATATCATCTACCCCAGAACATACTTGAAAACCAGTGAAAAGATAAATGTACCTTTCTTGGGTAAATACTATTTTTATTATGACTATTAACTAATCTTAGTGTCTTAGATCTACTTATCAAGTGGTGTGATGCAGTGAAGGCTGGTTCATAGGGGTAGGTGGTGGCTCGCACTCAGTTTTTGTTGCAAAAAAGAAATAAATCAAATCTATCGGCATTGTAAGGAGTATTGATAAGTGTGTGTTAGGAAGAACGTGTGTCTGTCATGATTAGATCTACAGTTTCCATTCTCCCTTTATGTAACACAGGAACTGCACTCAATCTTCCAACCTTAGAACCAGGGTGCAACCAGACCCGGATTCAGCACCAAATCCCAAATGTAATACTACTATCCTTTCTTTTGAAGTATTCCTTTCTCCTTTTATTGATGACTGGAGATGCAGTTGGTTTTGAACATGGTATTAGTATTTAGGATTTCAATTTTAATGGCAATCTGTGTCATGAGGTTAAGTGGGTAGAGCACAAAAAGTCAGGGGGGCAGCACCCCACCATCTTTAAACTTCACCGTTCACCACAGGAACGGTGGCATGAGGTGAACTGCAAAATTGCTGACAGATACAAAAAAAAATCTCCACTCCTTCTTTCGTACGATTGTGTTTCAAGAAGTGGCAAGCATCCAGTTATGGACTGAAGACAAGCAGTTGTTTTTTCATGACCCGAGAGAACAGGGGAGGAAAGCTCTAAAATAAGTGAAATGGATTGAAGGATACTGATGGAATGTTGGAAGACGTAAGATGAGAATCAGGAAACAGCATTTTCATGTTGAATGTGGTTACGAAGTGTTAGTCAAAATTTATTCATGTTCCTCAGAATTAAAGATACATAAAGGTCACAAATAAGTAGTAAATATTTGTGACTTTAGGATTTAGTAACCATTAAATAATTGATCGCTTTGGTTAGAGCAATTTCAATAGAGTGCTGACAGTGGAAACCAGATGTATAGGTCAAGTAAAGAATTGAAATTATGAAAACTAGTCCTACATGAGTTGTGCAAAAAGCATGTTGGTGAAAATGAGTCAGCAGATAGAGATTGTGTTTTATGGTGGGAGTAAAAATTAAAAACATTTCCAAAAGAGAACCAATGAAATCATCTTTCAAGAAGTTATATAATAAAATAATGAAAGTATTAAATGATATTGTAGAACAAAAAGATATTGCTGGAATTGGGTCAAAGCTACGGGTGGTGGAGGAGGAAGGCAGCAGAAGTAACATCAGTGACAAGGGTAGACAAATCAGATTTCATGGTAGGGTGAGTGGAGGATAAAAAAAGAGTGATAGTCTTTGTCATATTTGATTACTCTCATTAAAGAGGTTTGCACTTGTTAGCTATGTGTTTAGTGTTGGGGTAAATATCTCTAATGGGATGAAGTAGAGGTTTGAAGAGTTGATTGGTTGATGGACATGAGTGAAGTGAACTGGTTACTTTTTTAGTAAGTGAGAAGACTAGTAGCATGAATTTGTAACGCAAGAAATAAAATGTTGCGTGAGACATCCTCTAGTTATACTCACTGTTTAGAGGTATCTTTAGAGGTAACAAGTGACTAATGTATGCAAGGATTGGAGTGATGGTCTTTGTAAAGAGTGGATTGTTAGTGGCATTATATTCTCTGTAGTAGTTAAAATGATGTATTTGTTATGGAAAGTTGCCAGTTTAGGACAGGTTGAAATAGAAGAGAATGAAGTTTGGAGATTAGTGGAGAATGTGGAGAGAATATGGAGAAAAAGAAAAAATAAACACTTTAGACACAACAGGGTAATCCCTAATTCCTGGACTGGTCGGGGGTATGTGAGTACTGGGTTGGGAACCCCTATAACTGGGAATCACAGGGTTTCTAGAGACACTGTCTGTGTTATTCAAATTGAAGGCCAGAGGTTAAAGCATAGCTGACTTAGAGAATGTTTCCATTTTGGCTATTTTAACCTTAAATTTAGAATTCAATTCTAACTTTAGTAAATAACCCTGATAGTTGATGGAAGACAGAGAGAATGGATGTAAATAAGATAAATGCACTGATAGTAAGAATGGAGAATTATGGATAATGTGTGCTAAATTGACAAATTAAAATATATAGCAGTGGTAGTCAACCTTTTTCTTCCTACCGCCCACTAATGCATCTTTCTTGATGGAAAAATTTACTTACCGCCCACCAGTCCCGGTCGCGCTGTTAAAGCGCCCAGCGCTGACCAGGCCCCCCTCACAATCCACATCCATCGGGTGGCCCTGACAGCATGGGCCACCCGATGGACCCCTTGGATGGCGGCCCTGGCGGTTTGCCGCCCGGGCTGAGGCCGCAAAGGGTGATGGCGTACCGCCGGCTCGCACCCGCCCACCCACCCAATCTCTCCAAATGAGGAAATCCCTACCGCCCACCTGGAATCCTGAAACGCCCACTAGTGGGCAGTAGGGACCAGGTTGATGACCCATGATATAGAGGAACCAACTGGCAATCAAGCTGAGAGGAGATAGTGCAAACAGAACGGTTGCAGAAGTCCTTCCAAGACGGTCGGTGTACTGTTGCACAGTTTGTTCTATGAACCCCTTCTTATAGCATTGTTCCTTTTATAATCCAGTATATAAACTACTGTGCACTTAAAGGGATAATCCAGAGCCCTTAAGTACTTTAGCTTGCTGAAGAGTGGGTCATCTAATTTCATTGAGTAATTTTAAAAAAGTGCAGATTTCAATAGAAATTGCCACTTTTTAAAAATCACCTTTGTTACACCTCCCCAGCCGACAGTCACACACAAGTGGTCCTGTTACTTCCTGGTTTGGTTAGCTCATTGGAGCTAAACTCAAGAGGCAGCAATTGCCCAGAGCACCTGACTTGCTCATTGACTTCTCATTGAGCTGCATTGGGCAGTCTGTGATTGGACAGCCACAGAAAGTCTGGGCGGGGTTAGAAAGGGAGGGCTTGGAAAGGCTGCATATTTTGCAAGCTGTTTTTAGATATACCCCCAATGAGAACATGCATAATTAAATTCATGTATGTTTTTATTGAAGGTTTATCTACTAAACAGTGAGTGGCGTGTCCCTTAAATGTCTACTCTCATTAAAAAGTATCATGCAATTTAATTAATGTACAATGCCCAGTAAATTCTTCTTGTGGTTATCGGACGCACTCTCAGAAGTAATAATTCAGGCTTTATTTGTCAGCTTACAGAAATCACAGACAGATTGCTGAGATCATTTCAAACAGATATTGATGTTTTTTTCAATGAAATCGACAACTCCATCGCTGTCAGTAGAAATGTATTCCTTCAGTTAGAAGACAAGTACAGCCCCGGAATAAGTGAAGGAGAATGGGAAAAGATACAAATACAGGTAAGTCAGAAGCTATAGGTATTAGACTTGGGATTGTGTTACACCGTGTTAATTTATTGTTACTATTTATATAGCGCTAACATTCTACAGAGATGTACAACTGTCTGCAAGAGATAAACAAGAAAATGTAAAGTTATGGGGATCACTGTTTAATAGATAAACCCTGTGCATATATTTATTGCGGGTATAGCTTAACAGGGCTTACAAAAGCTGCAGTTTTTATGCAGATTCTCATTGAGAATCCTCTGAAACGATGCTGTTGTGTGCAGGGCCGCCATCAGAAATTTTGGGGCCCCTAACACAGCTCAAGGTCTGGGCCCTCCTTCAAGCCCGCCTCCAAATCCCGCCCACAGGAATACACACACACTAACAGATACAAATACGGAAACAGACACACAAACAATCATAGGGAGATACTGACACACACACACATATACATGCAGACATACCTACTGACAAACATACATATACATACACATACTGCATACTGCATACTGATATATACATACATACATACTGACAGGCATACATACATACACACACACACACACACACACACACTGGCATACATACATACATACATACATACACACACTGGCATACACACACTGGCATACACGCACTGGCATACACGCATACACTGGCATACATACACACATACACTGGCATACATGCATACACTGGCATACACACATGCACTGGCATACATACACACATACAGTGGCATAAATGCACTGGCATACATACACACATGCACTGGCATACACACATGCACTGGCATACAGTGGCATACATACACACATACACTGCCAATCATACACACATGCACGGGCATACACACATACACTGGCATACAAACACGCATACACTGGCATACATACACACATGCACTGGCATACATACATACACTGGCATACATTGGCATAATACACACATGCACTGGCATACACACATGCACTGGCATACATACACTGGCATACACCTAATTTTCAGCCACCCTCCTCTCTTCCTTACCATTTCGTCGCAGTAGGGTGGCTGGGGATGATGGGCGTCGGCTGCGTCCTCCTTCCCGTGCAGAGTAAAGTGGGAGGAAGTGACCGGACGTCACTTCCTCCCAGCAGCACTTGCTTCCGGCTGCATTTTTTTTTTTTTTTAAAGGGGCCCGGTCACGCTATTACAGCGCTGATCGTGCCCCTTAAGATAATAGGGCCAATTGGGTGGCCCTAAATGCTTGGGCCACCTGATGGGCCCCATCAGCGTGTGGGTCCCGGTGCAGATGCACCGGCGGCAGTTCCACTGATACACGTGGGGCCCAGGTGGCCAGCCCCCCAAGGCCGCTGGGCCCGTGACAATTGTCACGGTTGTCATGCCCTGATGGTGGTCCTGGTTGTGTGCCCGCACACTGCACAGCGTTCAGAATGAGAGGAAGTATGTAGAGAAGAGAGCGCCTTCCACTTCCATTATCCTAGGGGAACAAACGGAAGCAGGAAGTAGTTCCCCATGCTGTTTGATTGACAGCTAGTGGGGTGTTTAATTAATTAAATTCTATAAAGTGCCTTTTTAATTTGATACTCCCTACCAATGAAGCACTTCAGCAAGCTGAGTGGCCCTGAAACTGTGGGGTAAAAATGAATCCCTCTTTTTTAATGAATTAAAAGGATAATGTTTTAAAAACAATGCAAACTACAGACTCCACAATCTAAGAGTGCTTTAAACATTTTCCCAAGTGCACTAATTTCCACACCAGGAACAAACCTTTATCCCAGAAACCTCTCTCCAGCAGGACTTATGTGATAAGAAATTTATCTCCAAAAGCATGTTCACTCATAAGTTAGGATGAGTAAGAACTCCTCTATATAAACTAATATTGGCCATACTAATGCCTCACTTTGCCCGTCGACAGCCCATGGATCAGTTCTCTCGTATTATGGAAGAGAAGCCAAGTTTGGATTGTCTATCATTGAAGAAAAGCAAACTATCCACTAGGACTAGGAGGAGGTCCTCCATCCGAAAAACAAAAGAAACTGGTGGATCTTCTAAACCCCTAGTAACTTTAGACTTCCCTCCTTCCTTCCAGCCCATTTGTGGTGGAGGGAGGAGTTTATAAAGCATGCATGATCTGCACAATGCTAGTATCCCTTCCCTCAAAAAAAAAAGACACGAGAACAACGAACTTCCCAAGGAGCAATAGCCATTTACTATTTATCATGCTGTCTTCTGCTCCATGAGATAAAGTCAGTAAAGGAAAACTCTGTTTCCAAAAATACCTACAGTGAGGGAAAAAAGTATTTGATCCCCTGCTGATTTTGAATGTTTGCCCACTGATAAAGAAATGATCAGTCTATAATATTAATGGTAGATGTATTTTAACAGTGAGAGACAGAACAACAACAACAAAAATCCAGAAAAACACATGTCAAAAAAGTTATACATTGATTTGCATGTCAATGAGTGAAATAAGTATTTGATCCCCTATTAATCAGTAAGATTTTTGGCTCCCAGGTGTCTTTTATACAGGTAACCAGCTGAGATTAGGAGCTCCTAATTACCTGTGTAAAAGACACCTGTCCACAGAAGCAATCAATCAGATTCCAAACTCTCCACCATGGCCAAGACCAAAGGGCTGTCCACAGATGTCAGGTACAAGATTGTAGACCTACACAGGTCTGGAATGAGCTACAAGACCATTGTCAAGCAGCTTGGTGAGAAGGTGACAACAGTTGGTGCGATTATTTGCAAATGGAAGCAACACAAAATAACTGTCAGTCTCCCTTGGTCTGGTGCTCCATGGAAGATCTCACCTCTTGGAGTTTCAATGATTATGAGAACGGTGAGGAATCAGCCCAGAACTACATCAGAGGACCTTGTTAATGATTTCAAGGCAACTGGGACCATAGTCACTAGCCATGTGCATGGGGAAAGTTTTCGGATCGGTTCGGCATTCCGAAATTCTGGATTTTCGCAATTCGGCACTTCAACACTTTGGAACTTCAGCAACTTCGGAACTTCGACAACTTCAGCTTTTCTGGACTTTTATTGCAGCCGCTTAGTAGATAACTCCCTAATTCCCACGGTATTAGGGAGTTATCTACCAAAAGGCTGAAAGACCTAAATTGGTCCTTAAGCCAAATTTACTAATACAAAGTAAATATTACTTCGTATTAGTACATTTTTCCCCTACTCGCTATACCGCGAGTAGGGGCAAAATTTTCGGTTCGGCATTCCGAAATTCTGGATTTTCGCAATTCGGCACTTTAACACTTCAGAACTTCAGCAACTTCGACAACTTCAGCATTTCGGGACTACTGCGAGTAGGGGCATGTCCTGTGGCTGCTCACTGTTTAAAAAAAAAAATAGGGTCCGGCGGTGGGTGGGGGCCCTAAATACTAATAGGGGGGGGAACCTAATGTCCTCCCCCCTGGCCCCCACCCCTGAGCGATGGGTGGGAGCCCTAAATTGGAATAAGGGGGGGACCTAATGTCCTCCCCCCTGAACGGTGGGTGGGGGCCCTAAATACTAATAAAGGGGGGACCTAATGTCCTCCCCCCTGGCCCCCACCCCTGAGCGGCGGGTGGGGGCCCTAAATACTAATAAGGGGGGGACCTAAGGTCCTCCCCCCTGGCCCCCACACCTGAGCGGCGGGTGTGGGCCATAAATACTAATAAGGGGGGGACCTAATGTCCTCCCCCCTGGCCTCCACCCCTGAGTGGCGGGTGGGGGCCCTAAATACTAATAAGGGGGGGACCTAATGTCCTCCCCCCTGGCCTCCACCCCTGAGCAGCGGGTGGGGGCCCTAAATACTAATAAGGGGGGGACCTAAGGTCCTCCCCCCTGAGCGGCGGGTGGGGGCCCTAAATACTAATAAGGGGGGGACCTAATGTCCTCCCCCCTGGCCCCCACCCCTGAGCGGTGGGTGGGGGCCCTAAATACCAAAAAAATTATCCCCCTTCCTACCCCCCTCACCCTAAAAATAATGAGGGGGGGACCTTTAACTAAGTACCTGTAAAAAAATAAAATAAAACTTACCAGAGAGTTATGAGTTAAATTACACAGCGTGGGAAAATTCCAAAGAACTTTCCCACGCTGTGTAAAGTGACACAGAGCACTCTGATTGGTGGATTTCAAACCAACCAATCAGAGTGCTGTGACAGGTAAATGTAGAGACTTACCTGTCAGCCTCTTCATTTACCTGCCAGAGCACTCTGATTGGATGGCTTAAACCCACCAATCAGAGTGCTCTGAGCCTAATTGCAGGGAGGGGGAAGGCTTTATAAGCTCAGTCTGCGCGGAGCCCTCGCTGGGTGAAGATGGATTATTTTTTTTTGCGCTCTTTTTTTTTTTTTTTTTACGTGCGTCGGTTATTATGTTTTTTTATTTGGCCTTTTTTGGGGCTGAAAAAAGATTTTAGAAGAAAGAAAACATCGAATGGTAAGTTTTTTTTTTTTTTACAGGTACTTAGTTAAAGGTCCCCCCCTCATTATTTTTAGGGTGAGGGGGGTTGGTAGGAGGTTAATTTTTTTGGGGGGGGGTGGGATGACTAAGGGTTTGGTATTTAGGGCCCCCATCCGCCGCTCAGGGGTGGGGGCCGGGGGAGGACATTAGGTCCTCCCCCTTATTAGTATTTAGGGCCCACACCCGCCGCTCAGGGGTGGGGGCCAGGGGCATGGGCGTAGGAACTCCAAAAAATCTGGGGGAGATATCATTTTTACTCGCCGGGTATATTTTTATTCCGTAAACTAGGAGTTGTTTATCCCATTGTCTAGTGCTACGGAATTTGCTGGCGCTATATAAATGATAAAATAATAACATTAAAGGGTCACTACAGGGAAGGGGATTTACTTACCCAGATCCAGTGCCGGGATCCTCCTGATGCCGCACCCCCTATTTCATCAAAATGACGAAATAGGAGGGTGCAAGCAGGGTGCAAGCAGAAGCGTCATTGCTCCCTGGTGCGCATGCGCAGCTTTGCGCACATGCGCAGATACTTCATAGGGCGGCATTCATGTCTCGACTAGGAAGCACCTCTAGTGGCCATCTGAGTGTCCACTAGAGGTGTTCCTCAGCAGTAATGTAAATACTGCCTTTTATGAAATGTCAGTGCTTACATTAAAAAGCCTGCAAAGACATGCTATAGACACCAGAACTACTACGTTTAGCTGTTGTGGTTCTGGTGACTATAGTGTCCCTTGAAAATAGAGGGGAAAAAAGAATCATCACAAATGTAAGAAATAAAATGTCTGTATCATTATTCTAAAAAGTATTTAAAATTTTTTTAAAAAATGCACATTCCTAGCTTAATTTTTAGCACAACATTTGACACAAACATTTTGTACTTTGCAGATTACTTTTTATATTTTTTTATACATATACAGATTGTGTAATACTGCCCCTGACTTAGGGTGACCACATTTCCTAACTGCCATTCAGTGACACTTTCAGAAGTGCATTCCATACATTTTACTACCCGTCTCTACCCCTTCCATTTATATTGGAACCCCACCTACCCCTTCCATGAATATTAGAACCAACCCTACCCCTTCCATGAATATTAGAACCACCCCTACCCTTTCCATGCACATAAGAACCCCACCTACCCCTTCCATGCATATTAACCCCCCTACCCCTTCCATGCATATTAGTACCCCCTAACCCCTTCCATGCATATTAGAACCCACCCTACCCCTTCCATTCATATTAGTACTCCCCTAACCCCTTCCAATTATTTTTCTACCTTCCCCCTCCTCCCATCCATATTAGTAGCCCCCCTAACCCCTTCCAATTATTTTTTTACCTCCTCTCATCCATATTAGAAGCCCCCCTAAACCCTTCCAATTATTTTTCTACCTACCCCTCTCCCCCATCCATATTAGTAGCCTCCCTAACCCCTTCCAATTATTTTTTTACCTCCTCCCATCCATATTAGAAGCCCCCCTAAACATTCCAATTATTTTCTACCTCCCCCCTCCTCCCATCCATATTAGTAGACCCCCTAACCCCTTCCAAATATTTTTCTTCCTCCCATCAATATTAGAAGCCCCCCTAACTGCTTACATTCATTTTTCTACCTCCTCCCTCGCCCCTTCTTTAACCCTTCCATTAATTAACACTAAAAATGCTCAGACAGCTGTTTTTTTTTCTTTTCAGGGGTGACCGGCTCTGCTTTACCCCCTACAAACGGTTGTCCCCACTTTACCTGACATAGCAGGGGGACCTCTGGATGTCTGGCGGGCGCAGTGTCAGACTGAGCACCGGTTAGTCAGGTGCTCCCCTTCCCAGTCTGCAGTGCGTGCGGTTCCCTGATGGAGCCACCCGCGGCCGGCGGAGCTGGGGGGGATTTCTCTATAACCTGTCCCCTCCGCATGATTTGCTGGGGGTTCCTACGCGCATGGCCAGGGGGGAGGACATTAGGTTCCCCCCCTTATTCCAATTTAGGGTCCCCACCCGCCGCTCAGGAGTGGGGGCCAGGGGGGGGACATTAGGTCCCCCCCTATTAGTATTTAGGGCCCCCACCCGCTGCTCAGGGGTGGGGAACAGGGGGGAGGACATTAGGTCCCCCCCCCCTTATTTTACTGTTGGCCCCCACCCACCGCTCAGGGGTGGGGGCCAGGGGGGAGGACATTAGGTCCCCCTTATTAGTATTTAGGGCCCCCACCCACAGGCTGCTCACTGTTTACTAGACATGCCCTTACTCGCGGTATAGCGAGTAGGGGCTTAATTTACTAAGTCATCTTTACTTAGTATTAGTAAATTTGTCTGAAAGACCAATTTAGGTCTTTCAGCCTTTTAGTAGGTAGCTCCCTAATACCGTGGGAATTAGGGAGTTATCTACTTATTCATTCCTGTCATTGCATTGACAGGCTAAGTAACTTACATTTTATATGAATGTATGTTATTTGATTGTTGTAAGTGTTGCAAATGCTTACAGCTGAATCCTGGCTATGTTTGTATACTTTTTATTTAAAATTGTATACAATGTAACATTCTTCTTCTTTCACTGGGTAATTATATTAGTACTTAAGCAATACTGTGCTTCAGAACTTCGGCACTTCAGAACTTCAACACTTTGGAAATTCGGGACCTCGGCAATTCGGACATTCTGAAGAACCCGAATGTCCGAATTGCCCGAAATTCGTCCGAATTCATATTCGGACCGAAACGAATTGCACATGTCTAATAGTCACCAAGAAAACAATTGGTAACACACTACGCCGTGAAGGACTGAAATCTTGCAGCGTCCGCAAGGTCCCCCTGCTCAAGAAAGCACATGTACAGGCCTGTCTGTACAATGAACACCTGAATGATTCCTAATAGAACTGGGTGAAAGTGTTGTGGTCAGATGAGACCAAAATCAAGCTCTTTGGCATCAACTCATCTTGCCGTGTTTGGAGGAGGAGATATGCTGCCCATGACCTCAAGAACACCATCCCCACCTTCAAACATGGAGGTGGAAACATTATGCTTTGGACGTGTTTTTCTGCTAAGGGGACAGGACACCGCATCAAAGGGACGATGTAGGTGGCCATGTACCATCAAATCTTGGGTGAAAACCTCCATTCCTCAGCCAGGGCATTGAAAATGGGTCGTGCAGGACAATGACCCAAAACACAGCCAAGGCAACAAAGGAGTGGCTTAATAAGAAGCACATTAAGGTCATGGAGTAGCCTAGCCAGTCTTCAGACCTTAATCCCATAGAAAATCTGTGGAGGGAGCTGATGGTTTGAGTTGCCAAACGTCAGCCTTGAATCTTTAAAGACTTGGAGAGGATCTGCAAAGAGGAGTGGGACAAAATCCCTTCTGAGGTGTGTGCAAACCTGGTGGCCAACTACAAGAAACATCTGACCTCTGTGATTGCCAACATGGGTTTTGCCACCAAGTACTAAGTCAAAGGGCTCAAATACTTATTTCACTCATTGACATGCAAATCAATTTATAACTTTTTTGACATGCGTTTTAATGGATTTTGTTTTTGTTTATTCTGTCTCTCACTGTTAAAGGGACACTATAGTTACCAGAACATCTACAGCTTAATGTAGTTGTTCTGGTGAGTATAATCATTGCCTTCAGGAATTTTCATGCAAACTCTGCCTTTTCAGAGAAAAGGCAGTGTTTACATTGCTCCTAGGGACACCTCCAAGTGGCCACTCCTCAGATGGAGATGCTTCCTGGCTCAGTGCTGAACAGTAGGCAGCAGTGCAGTTCAGCGTCTCCACGCTCTGCATGGGGGCGTTGAATTTTCCTAATAAAGAAATAAATTGTTTCAATGCATCTCTATGAGGAGGTTCGGATTGGCCAAAACAGCATTTGGCCCCTTCCCCCAATGGGAAAGCATTGGATTGTCTAAAAATCGAAATTATGATGTTACCAAAGTTTTACAAAAACTCGAACCAATGAGTTCTTCCATCACTAGAGATTTAGAGAAGAAAAGACATAAGTAGACTGTTCAAGGAGTCTGGGGTTAAAAGATATAGCATTTCTCACAGAAATAGAATATCTCCTAATGAAACAGGTTCCATAACAATTAAAATAAAACAGCGATATTAATGCTGAAACTATATGGTTACATGTTGTGTATTTTATAATTAAGTTATAATAAATAACTTTTAGCGCACCTCCTGGCTTACCCTTGTGCTCTGCGGGTGGCTATATTTAGCTCTCGTTGATCCAAAGCACCACTTGTCATGTACAATTAAATGTCTGAAACTGTCCTAGAATGCAGTATGGAGATGCCCATCACATGGTGTCAGGATTAGCTCTTAATTACCTGCACAGTCTTTGATTGGATAAGCAGTGTTAAACCCAAAGAGGACTTAAATATGGCTGCCCCCATAGAGCAAGGCTAAGGCAAGCCATGTACTGAAAAAAAGTTATCTATGTATATGCATGTGTTAAAAACCAATTATACATATAGAGGACAAAATACATGCGAAATTTTATTTTAAATAATAAGAATTACAGTTTTTGTTGGCGGGGTGGGGAGTGGGAGTGACAGGGCCGAATGCAAATAAATAAATAAAGATAAGATATTGTTACAAAAACAAATCCTAATTGAAAAGGCATGAGCACGTGGTGAGCTTAGGATTCACTGATATAACATCTATTTAATTGACTACTCCACACTAAATATTAATAAAACAAAATCACTATTTAGTATACATACCCCGAATGAATACATGCATGCATTTTTTGCACTGCTGCATGTAGTCACTGGATGTATATCTACAAAAAAATTGCAAAAGCTGTAATTCTTTAAGCCCTCCCAATTTTCCCCCAACACAGACTTCCTTTTTTTTATTTCTGACTCTGAATCTCGACTACACAAAGGGGAAAGGGAGCAGGAAGGATGATGGAGCAGTGGATGAAGTTGCAGAACTGGGGAGAAGAGGTACAATCAAACACTGTGGACGTACGCTCACAGGCTCATAGGAACACGGGGGACAAGCAGGCACACAATCCCTGGTTGTATGATTGACAGCCAGAGAGGTGTTTCATAATTGATTTATAAAAGTGTTGATTTCTCAAATAACTTGGCACTTTTATAAATGGTCATTTTAATGGGATATTCCATAAACACAAAGCACTTCAGCAAGTGCCAGAATGTTATGGTATGGTGTCTGCATCTTAAATGTATATGAAAAGTATATGATGTGTGCAGGCCTCCCAGCTGTCCTGATTTTGGCACGATGGCCCCACCATCCCAAATTTGTCCCAACTGACCAAAAAAGGTCTCCCTACATGGTCTACCCTACTTGAGTAGAAGACAGGCTGGTGTGCATTTACCCTATTCTGACCTGTCAATTCTACTGGTGGAACCTTCATTGGGTGGAGTCAGTGACGTAAATCAGATAACTGGTCTGCCTCCTTTTATTCCTCTCACCGGTGTCCCACTTCATAGGACATCGAAGTTTAGAGATATGTGCATGTGGAACTGCCGCACTGCTCAAAGGCGAAACATTGCTAATGATCTGTAAGTTGGTTGAAATAGTAAATTTCTCTTTTACTGGTTCGATTGCATTTTTGTATTTCTTTCTCCACAGATACTACACAAAGAATATAGTTATGATTTTTCTTCTACTCTTTCTTTTCTCCAACTAGGCCGTTCGACAGGAAATATTTGACTGTCCAATTTGTATCATGCCACTGCATCATAAAACGGATTCTAGTCGAAAGGATGACATTATGGACCAGTCCACACGTCCAGTTGTTCTTTTGTCTTGTTCACATGTGTTTCATTTTGCTTGTTTACAGGCGTTTGAAGAGTTTACAACTGGAGACATTCCTATTTGTCCATTATGCAGATCTTTTTACAAAAAAAAATTAGTCTCATCATAAATGTTTCTATGGTTGAAACAATTACTACGCAACACTAATTCTTCCTGTATGTTCGATATCCTTTCAAATCAGAAGGATAGAGGTTTATCAAAATATACCGAAACATCTGCTGTACAAATGTGTCAATAAAAGACTCTTTGTGTATTGTTATTTATTTATTTATAAAATATTTCACCAGGAAAGATATATTGAGATTTCTGTCATTGTCATGTGTGCCCTGGGCCCACAAACATTCCTTTGTTACAAGAGGGTACAATGTAATATTCAAATACACATAAATAAATTTAACCATGATTACAGGTGCATTCTGCATTGAGATATGTTGACAAAGATATCTTAAAACAATCAAATAGAAGGATGGGACTGCGCCAATAGACAGAAATGAAAAGTCCTTATTAAAATATGGAAATAAAGTCCAAATGTAATAAAAAACTTGGTATTATGTTCGTCTCTGTAGTTTTGTTCCTTCCTGGTATATGAAGGAGGGTGATGAATGATGAGGTGGTGTGGAGTGATCCAACGGGTATCCAAATGAAAAAGAAGAGGTAATACTCACTTTTAGTAGAGCTTAATCCAGCTCTGGTGTGGATGGCTTGCAGCGGTATTATCCCCGCTTATAGGATATATGGTGAGCTTCCTCTTCAGTATGATGACTGGCAACCAGGTAGAAGATGAAACGAAAAAGCAATAATAGTGCAATATGTCCCAAAAAGTAGATAAAAGGTATAAAAAATATAAAAGATACACTCACATTTAATAGAGCTTATACTAGCTCTAGTGTAGTAGGCGTGCAACGGTATGATCCCCCGTATCTGGGATATGCGGTGAGCGTTCGTTGGTACAGTTCTTTAGGGTGGTAGCAGGAGCTCAGGAAGAAGATAATAAAACAGCAATAGTGCTCTCAGTAAAATAATGCTGATTAATAAAATAAAATAAAATATACTCACAGTATATAGGGCAGACTAACTGCTCTATGGTATAGGCGCGGGTGGTATGATCCCCACCTCAGGATGTGTTGGAGTATTGACGACAATAAATAAATAAAAAAGCCAGGTATTTTAAAATAAAAAATAAAAATAAATAAAAGATAGTGGTACAAGAGAATAAAGTGACCAAAATCTATTTATTGACAATAATTTAAAAAATATATTAGTATAATATCCAAACGCGTTTCACCAATATAGGCTTTATCAATGGATTAAAAACATGACAACCATGGGGACCAGGTTTGCACCCAGCTATGCTAACCTCTTTATGGCAGACTGGGAAACCACTGCCATTTGGGGTGAGCATGCCTGGCAGACAAACCTGGTTACCTATTTTAGATATATTGATGACCTCTTTTTTATATGGGATGGCTCTGAGGACCTTCTCAATTCATTTATTCACCATCTCAACACTAACAACAGAGGAATTATTTTAACCTGCGAATATAGCAAAACCACTATTAACTTTTTAGATCTAGAAATTTTTATTAAAGATGGTATTTTAAATACAAAAACGTTCTTTAAAAAGGTTTGCACAAACACAGCCATTGACCGGTCGAGTTGCCATTATAAGCCTTGGCTAGAAAGTGCACCAAAAAGTCAATTTTTAAGATTAAGGAGAAATTGTTCTCAGATAGAAGATTTTAACCAGCAAGCAGAGTTTTTAAGAGATAAATTTAAGGAAAAAAATTACCCGTTGGAATCCCTTAACAACACTATAGATGTTATTAGAACTAAAGAAAGGACAGAACTTTTAAACTATAAAGAAAAAAATCCCAACAACCTCCCTAGCCTCCCTATTATATTCAATTTCAATAATAAAAGTAATCATCTCAAAAAAATAATAAAGAAACACTGGCATTTGCTTAAACAAGATGATATTTTAAAAGATATTATACCAGAAAGACCTAACATTATATTTAGGGGAGCCCCCAGCTTCAAATCAATTTTAACTTCCAACTTCACTAGGAAGGATGTCAAAAAAAAACAATCCTGCCTCCTACCTAACACTAAAGGGTTTTTTAAGTGCAAACGATGTAAGGTCTGTAAATGCACTAATCAATCTATTAAATCAAAAACTACACAATTTAAATCAAATAAAACCAACAAAATATACAATATTAAAGATTTTATTACTTGTGCATCTAAGAATGTCATTTATCTCCTGGAATGCCCGTGTGGTTTGCAGTATGTTGGTATGACCACTAGGAGCTTAAGAACAAGATTAGGCGAACACTGTAATATTATAAAAGGATACCAAAACCACACTGTATCCAAACACTTCTCTATCCATAATAACGATCCACGCCATTTGAAATGTATTGGCATAAGAAAATGCACTATTCCATGGAGAGGAGGTAACATAAAAAATATTCTGGGAAAATGTGAAATGGAATGGGTTTTTAATTTGAAAACCTTAACCCCAAATGGCTTAAATGCTGATTTTGATTTATTCAATTTTATATAACATTGTCATTTTATTATCCACTATTGTCTGTTTTTTTATTCAAAAAAAAATTTTTTTTTTTTTTTTTTTTTACACTTTTAGATTTATTTTATTGTCTCATATACTCTTTTGGAGACTAACATTACATGGTTTTTTAACTTCTTACAAGTTTTTATTATTGTACCCCTTCTTTTTATTGATATATGTCTATTTAATGTATATTCAGTTCTTCTGCCTCCTCCAATATGGCCGCCGCTATGTTTCTCACCAAACATTCCCCAACCAAGATGGCCGCCGCGACCCCATTTTCTAGCCGTTTTTCGGCTATTTCCCTCCCTCTCCCCTCCGGTCCTAAGCTATTCCCCCCTTTTGAGCCTATCACAAGGCTCTATATCCTCCTCGGTATGCTGTTTGGGCATGTAGTATAAGATACAACTACATGCCCCAGCATACCGAGCGACCGGAAGTGACGTCGCGCCCACAACGCGCGTCACATGACCTAATACTAGTTATCATATCTTTTTACACAGACCTCGTTTTTTTAATTAAATTATATATTTTACATCCCACTGGGTATATTAATGTGCCTAATATGTTTTTTTTACTGTTTCTTTACTGTTTTATGTAAGTAATTACAATTCGTTTTGTGATTGGCCAGAGCAGTTCTGGCGCAATTTTCAAAGTTATTCATAGCTTATATAAACTTTAACAAGCCAGGTTGTCATGTTTTTAATCCATTGATAAAGCCTATATTGGTGAAACGCGTTTGGATATTATACTAATATATTTTTTAAATTATTGTCAATAAATAGATTTTGGTCACTTTATTCTCTTGTACCACTATCTTTTATTTATTTTTATTTTTTATTTTAAAATACCTGGCTTTTTTATTTATTGTCGTCAATACTCCAACACATCCTGAGGTGGGGATCATACCACCCGCGCCTATACCATAGAGCAGTTAGTCTGCCCTATATACTGTGAGTATATTTTATTTTATTTTATTAATCAGCATTATTTTACTGAGAGCACTATTGCTGTTTTATTATCTTCTTCCTGAGCTCCTGCTACCACCCTAAAGAACTGTACCAACGAACGCTCACCGCATATCCCAGATACGGGGGATCATACCGTTGCACGCCTACTACACTAGAGCTAGTATAAGCTCTATTAAATGTGAGTGTATCTTTTATATTTTTTATACCTTTTATCTACTTTTTGGGACATATTGCACTATTATTGCTTTTTCGTTTCATCTTCTACCTGGTTGCCAGTCATCATACTGAAGAGGAAGCTCACCATATATCCTATAAGCGGGGATAATACCGCTGCAAGCCATCCACACCAGAGCTGGATTAAGCTCTACTAAAAGTGAGTATTACCTCTTCTTTTTCATTTGGATACCCGTTGGATCACTCCACACCACCTCATCATTCATCACCCTCCTTCATATACCAGAAAGGAACAAAACTACAGAGACGAACATAATACCAAGTTTTTTATTACATTTGGACTTTATTTCCATATTTTAATAAGGACTTTTCATTTCTGTCTATTGGCGCAGTCCCATCCTTCTATTTGATTGTTTTTTGTATTTATCCCAAGGTCACTTGAGGGAGTCCTTGTTTGGGATTGCTGCCTCTTGTATCTCTCTCCAATATATTAGCGCTGACTCTATTCTCTATTTAAAGATATCTTAACCCCTTAAGGACACATGACGTGTGACATGTCATGATTCCCTTTTATTCCAGAAGTTTGGTCGTTAAGGGGTTAAAAGAATTTTAGACTGTAGGAAGATTTGACTGTGTCCAAGAGGTTATTCCATAATTGCGGTGCTCTGTAGGAAAATGAGGATCGATTCGCTTTCTTTTTGTATTGCGGTTTGCTAAATAAAGTGCAGATACTAGACCGGAGGCTTTAGCACGTGGGAACAACTGGGGAAAGCATTCTACTGAGGTAGGGTGGGAGCTTCCCAGAAAAGCTCTTAAACACAAGGCTGGAAATATGAAGAGTGCGTTGGGATTCCAGCGATAGCCAGTTTAGCTCTTTTATCATGTCACAACGGTGGGTTATGTAATTACCTTGCAGCACAATGCGGCAGAATGAGTTTTACAATGTAGTAAGTTTATGAAGGTGGGTTTGCAGCGCAGGTGTATACACTACATCCCTATGTTCAATGATAGGCATTTACATTTGTGTTATAATCCATTTCCTTACTGTGGGGCTTAGGCAAGATTTGTTTCTGTATAGGGCATCTAGTTTTGGATAACATTTAGATCAGAGTTTTTCAATGTGGAGGCCAAAAGAATGGGGTCTAGCAACACACTTAAATATTTGACGGAACAGACTGCGGTCAGTGTGTTATTTGATCTTGTTCTGATGCATTAATGGGAATTTAATTTATGTACTGTTCCAGTTTTGTGAAAGTTTTTTCAGTGTTTAGGAAAAGGTTATCTGCAATCCACTTTTCTACCTCTGTGAACTGGTCTTGGAGCACAGCCTTGAGGCTTTGCGGACATTCAACAGATCATTTCTGAATAATGCGAATAGTGGGGGGTCAAATATGTAGCCTTGGTGAACACCACATGTAACTGGGAGAGGGAGGAAGGCAATGTCATAAATGGACACATATTGTGATAGATTTGATGCATACAATTGAAACCAGGTTAGCGGATGATCACCAATACCGGA